TAATTTTGTTATTCTTTGATTTACTCTTATTGACATAAATATAGTGCCACCTAATGGATGAATACTGGACATTCTATCTGGCATAGTTTGTCATGGGCTCTACTTTCAATATGTACATTTTGACATTTTTTGGATGAGTACATTTTGAAATTTTTGAGCAACACTTTGTGGATGTGTGTGTGCCATAAAACTTATTATTTTACATTAAAAACACTTTCTCAAAACGTGTTGCTGTTTTCTAACATGTAACACCGGGCAGCACAGAGCGGGACAGAAACAGACTGAACAAGCTGGTCAGGAGGGCCAGCTCCACTCTGGGCTGCTCCCTGGACTCTGTGGAGGAGGTGAGGGACAGGAGGGTGCTAGCCAAAGCCACCTCCATCATGGACAACACCTCCCACTGCACAGGACTGAGGAGGAGCTGAGGCACCCTCAGTGTAAGGAGCGCTACCACAGGGCCTTTATCCCCACCGCTGTCAGACTGTACAATAAGTCACTTTAAATGATCACTGTGTGAAAACCTGCACTACTATTGACACTGTTTCCAATTGACACTTGTCACTTTTGTTGTACATAATTATTGTCACTTTATTGTACATATATCCTGCATGTAACATGTTTGCACATTTCCTCCCTTTGCACAATCTGAGTGTCTCTATCCATGCCAAATGTGACATGTACATTTCTCCTCTGTGAGATAAATAAAGCAATCTTATCTTATCTTATCTTAAGATCCTGGACATGTTTGAGGAGATGCTAAAGTTAAACTAAATAGTTTTACAATCACTTTTCTGCAGTTCGTCTGTTTTCACAAAAACCTCATTTTCTAATTTTTTAGAGAGTCTAAGTCTAAGACTGGTGCTTTTTGTCACACTCTCCTCTTTTCGACTGGAGATCACAGGAGAACGAAACAAACTAAGAACAAACTTCTTTTTGCTGCTGAAAGTAGACAGTCCTGTCTTTCAGACTCTGGTTTCATATTTTTCATAGCACACAATATTCTGTGAGTCTTAAAAATCAGTGAAGTCATCAAAAAATGGCTGGCAGTCAATGAGAACCTCTTTTTCGTGTACAAAAATTACATAAAATTACAGATGATAAAACAGTCACATACAGATTATACAACAGTAACACACAATTTCATAAAAATACGGATTATAAAAACAGTTACATTTCACTGAAGATGTCTCAATCTGGATCTAAAAGCATTCAAGGAAATAAGATCAGATCATTTCTAGTCTTTTTGCAACACGTTCCATGTAGAAGGAGCAGTTTTTTTTCCCAGTTCTGTGCAAAAGGACAGAGAGCAACAAACGATCATTTGATCCAAACCATGAGAACATGTCTCTGTGAGTAAACGACAGATGTAAGAGGGCAGCAGAACAAGCCTTAGAAACTAAAGTGCACCAGTGTCCAAACCTTCTGTGGACAAAGATCCCACTCCAGAATATCACTCACAGTGAGGCTTTGCAGTTTGTAATGAATGAAACATTTAAAACATTTTTTTTTCCTATATTTAAGCGCAGTCTTACTGTTGAAACTGTGTAAAATATTACATTAAATATACTTCTTTAGGAATGAAACCTCTGCCTTGTTATTGATGAATACTTCGGCTTACTACGCTACTGTGTGGTGTGGTCATTTGTGGTGGTACTTGGAGAGGCAAGTATTTTCTGAGGGGGTACTTGGTGTGAAAAGTTTGAGAACCACTGATCTATACTATAATCTCTGTCAGGATTCCTCCCATGCTCCAAAAAGTGCAGGGTAGAAGATTGCCCCCTCCCAGTAACTGTTCATACAGTCAATGTTGAGCTGCTTTTCCTCTCACTCCATTATGGAAGCTGGATTGCCGGTACACAGGAGGTGCATGCCAGACCGATTGTACATTTTTTTGTTGAAGGGGAAGCCGAAGCAACCAGAAGAAAGAACATTCCGACTTTTCAATGAAATAAATTTGTTAATTTTGGGGTTGTTGTTAATAATGTTTCCTTTGATTTAATTCAGTTAAAACATTGTTATTGCTATGTGATCGAACAATTTTGAATGTATTGAACATCTTTAATTAAATCCAAAGCGCCTTTTCCACACCCCCTCTGAGCATGCGCAGAGGTTTACGCATGCGCCGTCTCCACCGTCCAGGATTCACACTGCCATTGAGTTCTTGCCATGCGCAAAGTCATGGATAACTTCATCATCATGCAGGTTTGGGTAATTACTTCTTTATTTTTATCAAATAGTAACTGAGTGGTAATTTGGGATGGTGTGTAGGGTATTTTATTCGGAAATACTATCCATAAATGTATGTGTTTTGTTGTGTTTTGTCACAGTTGATAGCTAGCTTATAATCCTTATATGTTGTTCGAAGAGAATATATTGTACTTTGTGGCAGTATATGGAACAATAATATTGTTCAGGTTATACTCCACACAAATGAACAACTTTGACATTAAACTGTCAATGGTTTGGATGTACTAACTCTGGCAGTGTCTTCCCTCTTGTCAGATCGTCGGCAGGATTATTGGGAGAGTCCACATATCTTCAAATGCTCTGCTCCGTCAGGTCTTGGATTTCTGCGATTCTGTGTGTGCCAAGTGTGCACCCTCGACTGACGCGATGAGAAAGACATGCAGGATGAAACAGGTAACTTTGTATGAGCGTGTATGTGCGTGTGTGTGCGTGTGCGTGCGTGTGTGTATGTGTATGTGTGCGTGTGTGCATGTGTGTGCGTGTGTTCACGCCGTGGCCTCCTCTCACCTGCGAGCTGACGGGGATACTCCATCACAGATAAATACATTAATTTGATTTGTGATTAATTAACTGCTGGAAATTTCATGGAGAACTTTTAGAATATGATCAGTCACACTATAGTGAAGCTAAAACCAGTCTCGAAAATTAGTGCCCAAGTCGCTGGAACCAAAATTGATATCTAGCTACATATTTGAACTTAGCTGACAACTTAAATAATTTAAAACTGAGGTACTTGAGGTGTAAAAAAAAAAAAAAAAAAAAAAAAAAGCAGTGATCAACTGCACTGGTGTCAGTGGGGACTAAAATTCCCAATACAAGCTGTGCAGTAATGAGCACTGAAACATTAGAGTTAAGTTAGACACCATACTTTTGTCAAAAAACACCTCCATGGAACAGAAGTTGGTCCGTTTAAAGTATGTACATCAGCACTGGTGAGTGTCCTGTGGTCAGATGGTCATGAGGTCAGATAGTCCTGAGGTCAGACAGTCCTGAGGTCAGAGGATTATGTGGTCAGACAGTTCTGAGATGTATATACAATTAGAGGTGCAACGGTTCATCACTGATCCGTGATCCGTTCGGTTCAACGTCTTCGGTTCGGTACAGACGTGATCCGGTTTGATTTATGAAAAAAAAGTTGTGCGCACGTTGTTCAGTCCACACACAGCGCGGTCATTGCGAGCGGAGGAACGGAGATGCTTGAAAGCCCTGCGTCATTTAAATCCCCAGTATGAGAGCATTTTGGCTTCACTGTAACTACACTGATAATTAATATTTGACAAAACTGTCACGATGTGTAAGCACTGTGGCACAAGAAAGACATGAGTGAAAAAAGCGTCTCAACGACCACCTATTGTCGCGGCATTTAAGCAGCTCCTTTACACACAGTCAGACCGGGCTAAAGTCAACTCTCCCGCGCATCTTCAGCTGCGCTCACGACTGACACTTGGACGTCCCGCGGAACCTATAATAGATCCATGAGCGGAACCGCTCACTTCATCACCGCAGACTGTCTGGGAGATGAAAAGTCTGGCGCTGCAGACACGCCCCCTCTACGACAGTCACAAAGTCACACAGCGCAGGTACTGACACAAGCAGCGGAGGAATGGAAGACAAAGGCCCAGTACTAATATCCCAGTCACAACTGATAATGCCAAAAATTAAATAAATACAGTGAATGAGGCTGGGCCCAGAATGGACCCCCTCCTTGGGAGAATCAGGAAGGTGGTGTAATATATGAGGGTAAATATCCTCATAAAGTGCCTTCTTATGTTGCACTTTGTGTTGTTTTTCATTAATTATGTTAAATAGACATAATTGGATGGATGGAATATGCCTTCCATCCATCTATCCATTTCCTTCCCCTTAATTCATTTCTAGGTCAGGGGGGGCAGTCAGAGCAGGTGCCGAGTCCACATGAGCTGTGTTTATTAAAAAGACAACACTTTTTTTTAGAAAAATGAACCGAAAAATGAACCGAACCGTGGCCTCTGAACCGAGGTACGAACCGAACCGTGATTTTTTCAAACCGTTGCACCCCTAATATACAACATTTCCTTTGTGGCTAAACTCATTTTGCAAAATGTAAAAAAACATGGGTCAATGAGTAACTTATTGGCTACAATTAGTCCTGTGAGATTGATTTAAACAGGAAATACTTATTTTTCACACATCATGTTTTTATTTTTGCCTTCAGTAGATTTGTAAACACTATTTCTTTGTTTTTATTTCAAGCAAAAAACTTGTATATTTCTTGTCACAAGTGAGCCTGTTTATCAACAGAGATGAGGGGGCTTTCACCTTGGCTCACACTTCTCAAGAGAGGGCGTCAGTCTGATGGATCTGTTAGATCTGTCAGACAGACCACATTTGGTAATAACAGCTGATAAGAGACTTTTTAGGTTCTTCTAATAAGACAATTAAAGCAAAAAAAGCTAGTACTGCTTAAATACCTGACATGTTTCGGCGGTACACTTCCGCCTTCAATCTTTTTTTTTTTTATGAATTTTCCACATTTAATTTAGCTGATAAGAGACACGTCACACCATCACGTGTCACCTCATATGAGGAAGGAGGTCTACCTCCAAAACATGTCAGGTAATTAAGCAGTACTAGCTTCTTTACATTTTTGTCTTATTAAAATGACCTTCTAAGCCTTATTACTTATTACCAATGAAAGGTCCAAGAAGGATAGAGCCTAAATACATGACAGAGACAGTCACATGTGCAGCTCACATGTGCTCTGCAGTTCTAACCTTCTGGTACTCCAGCTCCTCCGGGCGGAAATCGCTGCTGACTATCTGGAAGTCTAGGTTGAAGTGTGGCAGGCGGTGCAGCAGGTTCACCCACCAGGGGGCGGCGTAGTTCACCACCGAGGCCATTCTGAGTGTGACAGCAGCAGAAACCAGGCTCAGGACACTGCGGAGACACCCACAAATTTACTCAGGATACAGCTCTAATAATGTACAGAGACCACATCTCTAAAGGGGACAGCTCTGTAGAGGGAGGGAATGTAAATGGTATGACAGGACATAACACACACATTTATATTGTCTTCCATCCTCGTAAATGGCCAGTGTATAGTAACACCGAGTCTTTATATTCGTCAAGTTAAAGACACAGCAAACACGAATAATTAGCTACACAGTCATTTGTGACCAATCCAAAAGCAAGACATAATGTTGAAAAAAGGTAAAGGTACTTCCTGATTATAAAAAAGCTGTATCCCGTGAACAGATACAGATGCAACAGATGAACAGATGCAACATGGCGTCCACAAGTCTTGGAAACGAATATTTTAGGTAATAGGTGAGTTTCTTTTCTTTTCAAATAACACATTTAGTCTTGGTTGCACACATAAATTATGTTTCTGTTAAAAAGCATATGTAACTAGCAGTATGAGGGGGAATGTAAGCTCAACAATCAAAGCCTTATTGTAGTATCGCTAGACTACCAAGCATTCTGGGTATTGTAATAATAATAATGCATCAGTTTTATATAGCGCTTTTTGGACACTCAAAGACACTTTCCATGTGTCATTATTCATTCACTCCATACACGGTGGTGATAAACTACTACTGTAGCCCCAGTTGCCCTGGGGCACACTGACAGAAGCGAGGCAACCAGTATGTGCCATCGGCCCCTCCGATCACCACCAACCATTCACACACACCAGACTCATTTTAGGCAATGGGGGTGAAGTGTCACCCTAACCCTAACTCTAACCCTAAGGACACAACGGCAGTTTGGCACTTTACAGCCGCAGCGGCTCCACTGTGGCATTAGGTTAAGTGTCTTCCCAAGGACACAATGACAGCAGACAGTGGGAGTCGATGGTGAAAGTCTTGAGGTGGGCTTGAACCCGCCACGACCTTCTGGCTCTACCAACTGAGCTACTGTCACCTTTTGTATAACAAAGATCTCACAGTTAAACCGCATTTCGCCAAATCTTGATTGATCCAACAAAACCTGCATCTGACTTTGAGATGGTGACATGGTGATGGAGTTTAGACTTTCTCCAAACTCCCTACGGCCTTGCAGAAAGGTGCATTTACTTCCAAGCTTGATGAATCTTGCGGCCCAGGCTGGTCTCTTGAATGAAAACAAAATAAATGTGAGTAATATTCAAACTGTACTAAATATGAAACCATCAGCCACAATATCAACTGTGCATATTGTGCAATAAAAGGTCAACCTGGTTTAGTTAAAGATGCTATACCCGATTTTTTTTTTTTTTGAGTTCATAAAAATGCTTATTACTACTATTAAACAGACTCAAAACCCATCTGTTCAGACTGTCCTACCCCACCTAACACACACGCACACACCATTCCATATTGCACTACTGTTTTATTCTGTTGCTCCTGTTTTTAATGTTTTTATTATGTCCCGTACAGTGTCCTTGGGTGTTTTGAAAGCCACTTTTAATTAAAATGCATTATTATTATTATTATAGATCGCAAAGAAAACTAGATGGCTCCATGGAATGAGAGCGTAGGGGAAATGAGAGACCTGTGAGCAAGTTGAGGGGCGGTGCTAAACATTCAAACATTTCGCACTTCTTTCCCTCCCTGCTACTACTCAACTGTACCCCTGTTCTTTGTTTTATATATACTGTATATACAATATATATATATATATATATATATATATATATATCAAGGAAGATTGACAGAACAATGTTGATGAGGAGGCAAGAAGAATAAATAATGAAGGAATTATTAAATTCAATATTTAAAAAATAAAAAAATAAATAACAACAAAAAAATTCTCTTCCCACATGCATCTCAAGCATGCGCTTTTAATGCACAACATCTCAAATCTGTTTTTAACGCACCACACATTCACAAGACACATTATGCAGAGATGCTGCTGGAAGAGTACCACCAATCTCTGTGTACCACCTCACTCCCATCTCTGTGTGGAGCGAGAGGACTAATGCCCACAATTGAAAACTGCTTTGTGACTCTGGCCTGGATAAAGATTACTTACTTACTTACAAAAAACATTTGTATGCGTAGATATGGTCTTTGCTATCCTCTTCACCAACAACACGACCCAGAAATGGATTAGGGGAAGAAAATGGATGGATGGATATGCCCCATCTATCTGAAGGCTGCTATTAAAACAGATCTCAAAAGTAGGAATTTCTATCGCCAAATGATGTTCTTTAAAACCGCATGCTTTCAGTTACACCATGCCATTGGATATTCTATACTAGAATCTGTTCTTCTAGAATGTGTTGCACATTCTATTAGCACCCTCCTCTATGTTTGTTTTTAATATTTAGGCAAATTCACCAGTTCTCTATGTCCATTCATAAAAACACTGACATAATGTTGATTATTATGTGATTATTATGGGATGATTATGGGATTATGCTGATCCCTTTTATCAGCCAATCAATCATAACAGTGAACAGTAATAAAAAATTCAATAGTTTGAAAGATGCTTGAGAAGTTCATTCAGTATTCTCTCCCTGCCTTCAGTACAGACCTCAGAAAGGGTGACTGAGAATGCACTTGTATAGTAGAGCTAACGCTGAGAGCTACCAGAGCTAATACTGAAAGTTAACGGAACAAACTCTGAGAGCTAACAGAGCGAGGCCATCTTCACTTTGAGCTGGTTGTACATGAGACTTAATGAGAAACAAATGCAACATTTGATATTGTATCAAGATCAAGTTTTTGAAAATAATATAAATCTGCAAACTTTCTAACTACATTATACTACACACTACACTACACACATCTGATTCTGATTTGTAAAATGTTGTAAAAAAAAAAATAAATAAATAAATAAACGTAGTTGGTCATTACAAAAGATGCAGAGGTCTGGGATCTAGTCTCAGCAGGACACATCTTTTGTTGTTGGTTCACAGCAACACTCACACACGCAAGTTAAAGCTCACACAGTGTTGGAACTAAATGAATGTGTCTGGAGAGAACAAATGATGCTGTGTCCCAAAACCCATATATAAATCCTACGCATTTATTATTATTATTGATGAATAAACATTAAGGAATTCATGATGGTATTTGATCATGCATCAAAGGGCTCAATATTATATAAAGCAAATTAATTGTAAGTGCACGAATACGTCACGGTTAGTCGTGCAGATAAGGATCGTCTCATTTTCAATGCTTTCATTTACAATGCACTTTTATACGCAAATGAGCGTGGAAGTATCAATATCCGCTACTCTGATTGGACCATGTAACGTGAAGAGATTGTAATAAAATCTTTTGAATATGATGGAAGAGGATTTCAGTTTTCTTTAATGCTTCCCCTACTACAGGCAATACACCCGCAGCCTCCACACGTACACTGTAGCACAATCATGATGGATGTCATATTCTACTCTGCATGTGCAGATTGGGAGAACACCTACAGTATACAGTATAGAAGCTGGAGAACGAGGCCTCGCGCATCAGGTCAGCACAGACACAGGCAGACAGCTGCATGTAGGTCACACGTATTGTCTCCCATCATACACGCCGGTGTCTGCAGAGGATTCACTAAAACGAATAAATACATTCAAATCCTTCACTGTGGTCAAAGTGCCGCAGTCTCGCTCTGTAGTCTCCACGGCAACAAGCCATCAGAACCAACCCGAATGCGGCTCAGATTTATTTTCGTTTTTTGTTTCTTCGGTGCAAAAGGCACCAGGCCAGCCTGTGTATTATTATGTTATTCTGACATACCTAAAACGCGTGTGCGGGCCGGGCGCCGCCGTGTGCCTTTTGTCTGTTCCCGAAGTGGAGAGTCCCCCCCGAAGTCTGCGGCATCAACGCAGCGGAACAATGAGCGTCGAGCATGGGTCACATAGCTCACATCTCCCCGAGATAACAGAAGCCTGACGTCGGCTGCGGTGTGCTGGGGGCGGCGGGGAAGCGATGGATGCGTGGCGGGTTTGATCCAGGGTTTAGCGGAGAAGGCGTGCTGTTGTTGTGGCTGTGCGCGGTCGCGGCATGAGCGTTGAGCTGAGGGGGCAGCAGCAGTGTGCGCGCGCGTGTCGGAGGGGGTGCGCGCTTGTGAAATTCTATTTATAGGAGAGCTAGGGAATGCGAAGAAACAACTCGTCCTGGCGGTCACTTAGCGCTATTGCAGAAGTGTTGTTGGGCAGGTCGTAACCATATACTGTAAATACAGCATGTGGGAGAAGACTGTGAATACGTCAAATGTGTTTTGTGACGTATTCCGTCTGATGCAATCAGAGTACTGTAATCTGAATACCTTCACGCTCATTTGCATATCATACAGTGTAAATGCATCACAGGATTAGACCGTATGACTATGCTCACACATCACATCGTCAATTTATAACTGGGCGTATTACAATGTGTGAAAACATCTGTCAGGATTTAGCAGACAGAGACGGATCGTGGTGCGCCAAACTCTGGAAGTTTATTTAAGTTTCTCTCAAGTTCCACTGGTTTACTTTGTTTCTTTCTCTCAGACAGAATAAAGGCAGTACACAGTTTATGAAGTCATTGTCACGTCACACATCGAAAGACATACGTGTCACAAAGAGACAGTCACATCATAGTCATAACATGGAGTCCTTGTAGAGTCCTTGTACAGTCCTGCACGTAGGCCATATTGCTATCTAATACTAACACATCCGCACAGCTATGTTGTCCTCAATAAGTGTCTTTTATTTGCAGAGTAAAGTAGAGTTTATTGAGCAGAGAATAAGTGTAAATAAAATACACTTATTGGGAGCAACATAGCTGTGCGGATTTTTTTCACTGCTTTCACGTTTTGCACTTTTTTAATCCAGCACGCTAGTCCAGACTACAGGTATGTGTGGCCTTATTTGAAACCTTCTCGTATTACAATATAACATTGTGATATAAGTGCAGTTAAATCCACCTAAATCAGCGCCTTCTTCTGGCACCGTAAATTTGTGTGGACAAAAGCCTTAATAATTTCACGTGTACCCGTTTTAGTGTAAAGAAACTGAAAAAAAGATGCAGAGGTCTGTGATTGTGTCCCAGCAGAAAACTTTTTATTGTTGGTAAATGACACGAACAAAGATTTGCGGCGTGCACATGGTTTTTATACCAGACAAAACAAGGGCGCTCTTCTCCTCATCTGGCACAAGTAAAGTTTACTTGAAAAAACCATGGAAATAAATTGCGTATTAACTTCACTTGAATTACTCGAGTACATCCTTTACTTGATATTACCAAGTAACTCAAGTGATTGCAATAAAGTTTAAATTTCTTCTTAAGTTGCGACCGGGAATCGTACTCAGAACTCTGTAGTTGAGAGGTAATGGTGCTACCCACTCAGCCACCAGGACACCCTGCCACTGTCACACCTGGCTCATTAAAGACTCTACACGTCAAAATGTCAAAAGTGAGGCTTACTTGAACAGAAACAGTTCAATTCAAAGAAAATCCTGAGTGATATAGCCAAGCTTTAAATAAACTAACAATAAATGAGTAATATTTACTTACTGGGAAAAATCTATTTAAAATGACTTTGATATCTGAAGTACGATTGAAGTTAGGGTTTACAGTGTGCGCCAATAGATGTTTTCTTTGACCATCAGAACAAAGTATCAAGAAAAATTACTGACTTTTGCAGACTTCTGTAATGATCAGCTCAGTTTTAACACACTTGACCAAAAGTCTATCGAAGACACTCATAATTGTTGTGTCATATATGTACCAATTTTGCCATGCTTTCGAAAGGTTCACAGTATGCTAGCTTACTGTCTCCACAAGCTATGCACAACTCTTTTTCGTATCTGTGCAGGTGTGTAAAGTCCGATGTGTTTTTTTTAAATTACTTTTGTTACTTTTGTTTGCTCGGTGACAGGCCCCAAGGCCCTACTAAAAGCCTTCCAAACCCGAGAAGCTGACTGGGGCCCTCGATCAGAAACAATGTCCAGGGTTTTTCCGTGTAACCTTAAAACATGCAGAACCAGCAAGTTTGCAGTCTCAAGAGCAGAGGAAAGTTTAGGCAACAGGATGAAATGAACACATTAGAGAATCTGTCAACAATCTGTTTTCCTTTTCTTTTTTTTCTTTTGAATGCGCTGGAAAACGGCAGCAAGTCCTAAGTAGCTCTGAAACTTGCTTTAAATTTTAAATTTGTATTGCTTTTTTGTTGCTGCAGTACAGTGTTCATGGTATGGCACTGATCCAGGCCAGAGCAGAGACGATTCATGGTCCGAACCAAGCGGACCAGGTGAAAATCCACAGGAGGAATGCTAACTTTCTGAAAAATGCTAATGAAGCATTTAGCATTTTACTTTATTTATTTATTTCTTGTAGATGTGCTTCTTTTTACAATTTTCTGTTTAAGTAGGTATTACATTGTGCATTAGTGCACACAAGAAGCCTATTCTTGTCGGACTTTTCGCTGGATTAGTCAAGTTTTCGTCACTTTTGGATCCCCCCGCTCACAGCGCCACAAGCCCCCCCAAATGTCCCATTGTTTACACCCGGGCGCAGCTTCTCGGACTAAGACACTCCGGTTTCCTGCACTCTGAGAAGCCGGTGATCCCAGTGGAGATCCGAAGGAGTGGCAGCGGCTCTACTCCGAGCTCCTCCCGTGTGACTGAGCTCCTTACCCTATCTCTAAGGGAAGCTCATTTCGACCGCTTGTATCCGCGATCTCGTTCTTTCGGTCATTACCCAAAGCTCATGACCATAGGTGAGGGAGGGAACAAAGATAGACCCTCTTCACCACGACGGTCCGATACAGCGACCGCATCACTGTGCACGCGGCACCAATCCGCCTGTCAATCTCACGCTCCATCCTTCCCTCACTCGTGAACAAGACCCCGAGATACTTGAACTCCTCCACTTGAGGAAGGACCTCTCCACCCACCTTGAGAGGGCAAGGCACCTTTTCCGGTCGAGCACCATGGCCTCGGATTTGGAGGTGCTGATTCTCATCCCAGCCGCTTCACACTCGGCTGCAAACCGTCCCAGTGCGTGTTGCAGAACCGGTGACAAAGGGAAGCCTTGGCGGAGGCCAACATGCACCGGGAACAGGTCTGACTTACTGCAGGCAATGCAAACAGCTCTGGCTCCGGTCATACAGGGACCGGACGGCTCTCAGCAGAGGATCCCGGACCCCGTACTCCCGGAGAACCCCCCAAAGGACACCCCGGGGAACACGGTCGAACGCCTTCTCCAAATCCACAAAGCACATGTGGACAGGTTGGGCGAACTCCCATGAACCCTCGAGTATCCGATGGAGAGTATAGAGCTGGTCCAGTGTTACGCGGTAGAGCCCTGCACGGGCCTATTATCTGGGCCCGAGCCCGGCCCTGGCCCGAGGGGGTGGCGCCCCAGCCCGGCCCTGGCCCGACATGGTTTCTGAATTCTCAAGCCCGAACCCGTATCAAGCCCGACCTTTATTTTTTCTTTAACCTCTAATAACAATGTGTTAGCGTGACAGAACGCATATTCATCGGGTGCGTTCGTAAATGTAATCTGCCGCTCTGAAAATGGGATAATGCTCTGCAGTTACAAAAAACAGCTTTCTATTTTTTCTATGAATAAACAAACGTTTCTGACAGATCAAAGTGGACAAAAAGAGCATGTTAAAATATGGGCTCATGTTTCGATCAGCAGCTTGAGAACTAGTAGTGGAATTGTTTCAATTATTATTTAGTTTTTTGTTAATGAGCGGACAGCAAATCCAAACATAAGGTAGGCTAAAAACAACAAAACGCTTAAACCTTATAAAAGTGTTTATTAGTAGGCTAAACGCAGCAAAATTCAATCAATATTTTTCTTCTAAATAAAGACAACAGCTAATTGCCTGGGCGGCGTAGGCCTATAACAAATCTTCACCTGAACATGGCGATACAGAGCCGCTTAACATGGCAAATGTCCTCCGTTGTTTGAACATCACAAAAGGAACAGTCTATTTGGCATCATGCAGAAAAAGGACTGCATCCACCGTTTCAGGGGAAAGTCCAGTCCTCCTTTCCTCTATGACTCTTCCAGCTGCGCTAAAAGCACGCTCGCTGCTGCTGCTGCTGGCCGGGACACTGAAGACCATGCGGGCCAGACGTGCCAGTAATGGCAATGTGGTCTCGTGTTGCTTCCACCAGCTCAGTAGATCCCTTCCATCAGCTTCCATGGTGGGGTTGAGGCTGAGGTAGACCTGGATTTCATCAGTATCTTCGTTGTCCACTCTGACATTTTCCCACGCGTCCTCAAACTCCGCCAGTGCTCTCCTCTTTGGTGCGGGACCAGCAGCTGCTGCTACTGCACCTGACCCTGCGTAAATCATAACACAATTAAGCTATTTATAAATGTAATGTAACTGTCAATTATAGGCTAATAAAACACAAATACCTGATTGTGTAGACTGCTCCTGCCGACGTGCATCCTCTCCCTCCCTGAAGCGGTTTATCTGGATTCTGACCTGTTGCTGGATGTCGCTCCTCTCAGCGAGAGTAAACATTCGTAGTTGGTTGAACTTAGGCCATAGGAAGATGGCAATTTTATGAACTGGCTGGATTTGGATTTTTTTCATTAACCAGTCAAGGTGTCGTCGGCGAATGACAGCCTGGGAAGGAGTATCAGCCACGTCTGGTTGGCAGTGGCTTTTCAGCTTGTTGGCCCAGAGCACGACAAGGTGCAGTGTTGGGTATTTGTCCCCTTCTAGCTCCTTTTGCGCATCGCTAAATGGGCGCAGAAATTCCACAAGGAAGGCTAGAACATCTGGGGAGACATTGCGCAATCGCGTGCTCTCACCACGGCTCTGAAGAAGCTCCTGCAGCTCTCCATGGACTGACTGGATTGACTCCAGTGTGAGGAAGACTGTGCTATACCTGGTCTCTGCCATTTGTTTCACAGTTTTTGGCAGCTGACTGGCCAGACCAGATTGTTTAAGATAGCGGACTAAAGCCTTCGCAGCCAACAGGGTTTCTGCTACTTCTGGGACTACTTCAGCCAGCTCATCTGTGTTCAAGGCATGTCGGAGGACTGTGTTATACAGGTGATCTTGACAAGCCAGGTGCCTGTATGGACGGAGAGCGGCCACCACATTTGCACCCTGGTCAGTTACCCAGACAACATTGTTCAAAACTGATGCATCAAAGCCGAGGACTGTGACTAACTGCTGTTGAAGCTCTATTCGGATATTATCTCCTGTTTTGGCATGATTTGGGAAGCATGTTGTGGTGAGTAGCTTGCTCTTCAGTTCAAATGTTGGTGTTACATAGTGACATGTGATCGCCATGTAGCTCATCTTACGAAAATCATCCGTCCACATATCTGTTGTCATGCCAATATTTATCAGTGACATTACCCCCTTTATCTCCTCAACTGTCCCTCCTCTCCTTTCACTCGCCATCATTTTGCACCTTCGGGAGACTGTAGTGGGGTCGGGGAGAACTTCCTTGGCTGAAATGCGGCCATATGTTGCACCGACATTTATTAATTCTTGTGCTAACTCTCTGAAACCGACTCCAGCAATCGTTTCAAACGGCCGAATGTCCATGCAACATAAGTTCACACATTTATTTGTGACGTCTGACTTCACTCTTTCTGGTGGTGGTTTTGCGAAATAATCTCCCACACTCATTTGTCTGTGACCGGACTGACCGCTGCTGCTGGATCCGCCACATGACCGTTCAAAATGTCTATGGAGATGTGATGAACCTGTTTTTTTGCTGTCATATGACAGAACAGCTTTGCATACGACACACTGAACAAACCCGGTTGGCTCATCTTGAATGGTTGTAATAAGATTAAACTTAGTCCAGAATGGAGCTTTTCCCTTGGTGTTGTCCATTCTCTTCAATTCGCCATTTTCAATCTTTTTCTTTATGTCGTTCTCCATGTTGTTTGTGCGGTGGGAGTCGGGAATTCGCGCGGATGTGTAAGTGACAAGTGTAGGCCTAAAGAAGGGTGTTGCGTGCGTGCCTGTGTGACAGAGCATCTGTGTGTTAACTGTGTTTCCATTTAAACACACCAAAAAAGGTTCTTTAATTAGTAGCAAAAAAAAAAGAAAAAAGGAGAAATTAATTCAATTGAAAAATAACAGTGCGTGCCCGAGCCCGGCCCGTGTCCGAGGTAATTATACGGTCATCGGCCCGAAGCCCGGCCCTCGGGCTGTCGGGCTGTCGGGCCCCCCGGGCCTAGGGCTCCAGTGCAGGCCTCTATTACGCGGCCCGGGACAAAACCACACTGCTCCTCCTGGATCCGAGATTCGACCATCGGTCGTAGTCTCCTCTCCAGTACCTTGGAGTAGACCTTACCGGGAGGGTGAGGAGTGTGATCCCACGATAATTTGAGCACACACTCCGGTCCCCCTTCTTGTAGAGAGGGACCACCACTCCGGTCTGCCACTCCATTGGCACCGCCCCCGATCGCCTCGCGATGTTGCAGAAACGTGTCAGCCAAGACAGTCTCACAACATCCAGAGACTTTAGACAGTCAGGACGGATCTCATCCACTCCCGGCGCCCTGCCACCATGGAGGCTGCCAACCACCTTGGTGACCTCAGCCAGGGAGATAGAAGTATCCGCCCCAACATCCTCAGCCTCTGCGTCCGGGACGGAGGACGTGACGTGGGGGATTGAGGATAACCTCGAAGTATTCCTTCCACCGCCCGACAATATCCCCAGTCGTGGTCAGCAGCTCTCCACCCGCACCGTACACAGTGTTGGCAAAGAACTGCTTCCCCCTCCTGAGGGGCTGGACGGTTTGCCAAAATCTCTTCGAGGCCGACCGATAGTCATGCTCCATGGACTCTCCGAACTCCCAGTCCCGGGTTTTTGCCTTCGAAACAGCCCGGACACGCTTGGCTTGCCGGTGTTCTGTCGAGTTGGTCTGCCCGTCGAGATGATCTGCCTCAGCTGATAATGATGTAATGCAAACCTGCGCTGCGCGTCTCACCGCAGCCAAAGCAAACCAAGATGGCAGACATATAGTCCGCAACTTGCTTTAAAAGTGAAAATACGAACGAAATAAGACACAAATGTCACTTTTAATGCAATTTGAGGCGAGATGTTGATGGTTCCGCGTTGTGATATGTGGGTTTTAAGAGTTTCGTGTAAAGTTTATTTTAAGCAGTCCACTGCTCCTGTGAAACTACACTGCTAGTGTACCCAAATCTGATTTGCGCAAGCGCAGAAACCCACCAGAATGGGGAAAAAACTCGATCTAATTAAATATTTTGTTTGAACACACTGTTGTTAATTATATTGAATACAGTATGATACATGCATTAAATCAAATTAATTAATTCTATTATCAACCCGACAGACCAGTCAGAGGACGCGTCATGGGCCTACGTCAGTAAAATGACGTATGCAGCAGTCAACTCAGGGACTGCTATAATAACAGTGGCAGTGTAGTTTCACAGGAGCAGTGGACTTCTTAGAACAAACTTTACACAAAACTCTTACTCTTAAAACGCACATATCACAACGCAGAACCATCAACATCACGCCTCAAATTGCATTAAAAGTGACATTCGTAGTTTGTATTTTAACTTTTAAAGCAATTCCCGGACTTATGTCCGCCATCTTGGATTGCTTCGGCTGCCGTGAGACGCGCATGCGCAGGTTTGCATTACATCATTAACAGCTGAGGCAGATCATCTCAACGGGCAGACCATCTCGACAGAGCACCGGTACTGGACAGCTGCCTCAGGAGTCCCACGAACCATCATGGCTCGACAGGACTCCTTCTTCAGCCTGACGGCATCCCTTACTGCTGGTGTTCACCACCGGGTTCGGGGATTGCCGCCGGGACCAGCACCAGAGACCTTGCAACCCTCGGCTCACGTCTCGGTTTCTTTCAACGGGTTCCTGGATACTTCCGTCTCTCTGTGTCTCCCCCCCTTCACTTTCCCCTTGCCCGGCTTGTAAAGCAGTCAGCTGTCAGTCTTGTCCAATTGTCAAAGTTGGGAGGGCAATCAGTTAGTCCTGTCCATCCCGCCCCTCAAGTTTGTTCCAGGCCAAACATTAAAGAAAAAGAAAAACACAAACACCATACACAAAATCATAACACAAATGTTGGCCCTTTATCTCAGCGGGGTTGGCCTGGCAGTGTGACATTAATGCCTATGTAACTCGCTCGGGTCGGATTTGCAAGCCGAATCCTAAATACTGTGATTAACCTGTGTAAGATGTTTTGAAAAAAAAGGAGAGGATTGTTATGATTGTGATTACAGTATCTTATGCTTATTTTGTTGACTTGTTTTGAGTTTTACACATATCATATTCTATACTGGTCATGTTTGGAGGGACATGATACTGTAAACAGCTTTTTAGTATTGTACTGGTGCGCATGTGTGTTCCTTTGTGGCCTATGTTTCGCGGGTTCTGGTCCTCTATAAATAAATGGGGACCTCACTTTTTGAGAGTCTCCAACTACAATTTGCCTCTTTCTGTGTCGCTCATCCCTCTCCCGTTTGGTACACCACAATACATTTTATTTGAGATAAGGTTATATAGTGTGAGATTTCATAACACTTTTAAGCAACTTTTGCAGAAGCCAGTACCTTTCCCTTGTTTTGTCTATCTGAAGGCCAAGCTACATGGCACTGTGGAAGCTGCTGATTGGAGGTCTCCATGCCTCCGCTCTGTATAATACACTTGCATTCTGTTGTATCTGTGTTCGTGTTGTTCGTGCTGTCTCTACCATCGACAATAAAACATGTCTTCTGTCTGAATGAAAGACGCGATCCCAGACTTTGTCATCTTCTTCAATAGTTTATTAAAGAAATGTACTCTTATTAAATAGTTGTACGATTGTTATTATTTGTTTTATTCAACTTGCTAAACATATTTTGTTACAGAAGGCAATGACAAGGAGAGAATGTAGATCATTCTGATAAATGTACCTCGTCTTATGCCGTACTTGTTATCAGTGCGCATGCTCAGAATTATACATGTTCACTCTTGCCATGGATCTATAATAATAACTCTTGCCAAGTAGTTCCATGATACAGCCACGTTGTATAAGCTGATTAAAAACTTAAACAGAACTCCATCAATCACTCCTCGCTCATTCCAACACCGCATGGTCTAACGTCGGTTTGAGCGTCACTGGCGTTACTTTATTCTGAAAACCTCCTTGGTTTTCCTGTGGCACTTCGCATGGCTAGCTTGACTTCACTGGTTGCTAGACTACTCCAGTCAGTTTTCCATAGCAAAAGACAACAGCGTTTACGAAACATTAAAACCTCCAACGGCCTGGCAACCTCACGAAGCGAACTTTTACCCTACATGTCCATTCTGCTTTGGAGTAGACGATTTGCTAACTAAACTATCCGACATTTGAGTTTGGTTCTCTGCTTCTGGTCTGTTTATTGAGCTGTTAGCTAGAGGAAGACGAGCTGCAAAGTTGGATTTACTGGATATTGTGAATTTACTGGATATTAGGTGGGAGATGAGATAACTTTATTTGTAAAGATGTCTGCAGATGTGCGTGATGTGCTGTCAGACTGCGATGAGCTGGTAAGAAAAGCGATTTAATTTGGGTTCCGTTCAGGTCAACGAATCTAGTGTATTTGTACGTATAATCAGTATTTCTTCTCAAATGTAAAAGCGTTATGGTGTAATATAATGTTACCTTAAAATGTGTGACTAGATGACTCATTTTAAAACAGTGAAATAACAAAATAATTCACCTTTAACCACAGCTGCTATCATTAACGTAATATATCTGTTGTTTATATTTGTTTATGCGAGTAGTCTATTAATTTTACATCTAAAAATATATGTTAAATTTACCTGTCTAATATCTAAATAAGGCAGAAGTCTACGGTCCATTCGGAACAGAACCTCCCCCCAGAATAACAGTTTCTTCCTCACTGGTGTTGGACTCATGAACACTTACTTCATTGCCTGTCCCCCCGCCCTTTATAAGCCACTTTACTGCCCTTCATAACGTCACTTTACCGCTGTCACCTTACTGCACTACTGCACTGCACTGCTTACTGCATATTGTGTGCACCAAGTGTACTTGTATATTGTTTATTAGTCAATTTAATAATTTCAATTTTTATACCGTAGAAGTATGCTGATTTTTACTATGCCTTACTCTATTCTCTACCTCTCTTCCTTGACTGTTGCTCCGAGAGCCAAAGCAACTTCCTGTTACTTACATGGCAATAAAGATGATTCCGATTCTGATCATATATATTGAATATTAGGGGGATGTGCATTGATTTGTATCTGGCAATATCTGGTATCAATCGCTTTACATAGGTCACGTATTATTTTGTTTGTTAACTGAATAACAAATCGGCTCTTGTGAGATTAACAAAGACTAAAAGTAAAACATAACTATAATTCTGTTATTGTTTACACATGAGATAAATCATAAGTAAATAAATAATGAGGGATGAGCTAGAAACACTTGTGAGATGGGATTTTCTTGCAACAATAGTTATTCACATTCTTGGCGTACCCCTCCCAGGTTGAGGAGACGTTTCGGTTTGCTGATGACGTCTTGGAAAAGGTAAGTAACAGAACCCAGCCCTGCATTACACATGTGAACTTGAATCCTCTACTTTTAATTTTTATGCTGATTTTTCAGAACACAGTTCGGAGGCGGATGGCCAAACCTCCTCAGTCTCCAAGTAAGTACCCTGCAGAGTCCCATGGCATCTTCTCTGGTGTTACCACCTCATCAAGCAGTTAACAAGAAATGACATCATAATAGCATGTCAAACAATCAACCTTTTATATTCTATGTGTTTTCCAATTATAAAATATATATTTCTTTAACCTTTTTGGGATCATGCTAAGATTTAATGTGATTTTTTTATTTTATTTTTTCAAGAAATTATTTCATATTCTACCATAAAATACCTAGTCAAATTGTGTCAAGATCAGGTGTAACGGTCAACTGTAACAAAAATCCTGCATCACATGTGTTCTCTAAAGTTTGTTGTGTGCTGACGTGGTGTGTGCAGAGTCTCCATACCAGACAAGCCTGATTCTGAACTCGCGCAGGGCAGCTGTGGCGGCCTGGAGACTGCCCCGGGCTTCTCTGGGGGGCAGCAGAGAGGGAACCCCAGGGGACATAGACATAAACACAGGCTCTGGACCAGCAGGCTTCTTTGGCAACGGCCACGGTACACACAAAACATGCACCGCTCGTCGCCCTGGGTTGAACTATAACAGTTAAGAAAATAAATAAAATAGACACGAACACAACACATAAAACAAAGATGCAATACAATTACAATACAATTTATTCTTGTATAGCCGTAAATCACAACCAAAGTTATCTCAGAAGACTTAACAAAGCCATTGAAATCACCAACACAGATCAGAGAATCAACAGTTAAAACAAATAAAAAATATAGAACACATTGAAAAATTTCCATACATGTTGTAGAATGTTAAAGTGTCCTGGATCATCACCACAGTCCTTCTAGTTGGACACTAACTGCCCAACAGACCCTCCTGCATCGGCAAGGAAAAACTCATAAGAAAAACCAGTGAGAAAAAGTGAGAAACCTCGGGTAGACCCGGGGTTTGAGAAAGGGATCCGCTCCCAAGGACGGACGGACGGGCTATAGATCCAGGACCTAAGCTACAGAACGTGGACCAGTGGCCGCTGAACGTGGACAGGTACAGGACTGAAGAACTCCCAGGCGGGTCGGGTAGGGCAGTCCGCAGGTGTAGATGGAGGAGGCCAGGCTCAGAGATCCCGTCATCGTACCATGAAACAGACTGATAAAGCTGTTTCAACCACAGTTGAACCTGATGAAATCTCACACAACAAAGAGACAAAGTAGTAAAATGATAACTTAAGTTACATTCCAATATCACAGACAATGGGACGACGGGTGAAAAGCAATGAACAAACTACAGTCAAAATCCTAATAATGCTAAACAGATAAAGTAGGAAGGAGAAGAGGATAGTGCTCAAGTTACCATACTTTTCCCAGCAAACTGACTCCATATGCAGCTTGACTGACAGTCTGAGGAGTTTAGCCTTCCTTACCTTCCTAGCCATATGCTAACTAAAGAGGACTGTTTTAGCCTAGCCTAGAATGTAGGGTTGAAGATGCAGCAGACCGGGTCCCACATACGCAGATTCCAAGACCGGACGAAACTTGACCGGACAACAAACTAACCAAATGCTAAGTTGAAAAAGAGTGTTTTAAGCCTGGCCTTAAATGTAGAGACAGTGTCTGCTTCCTTAACGTGCCTGGGGAGCTGATTCCACAGTAGAGGAGCTTGGTAGCTAAATGCTCTGCCACCGACAGTGCTTTTTGAAACCTTAGGGACCACCAGACGTCTGCCGTTTTGCTAGCGCAGTGCTCGGCTTGGTTGATAAGACATTAACATGTCTTGGAGATAAGAGGGAGCCAAGCCATTTATGGCTTTGTATGCCAGGAGAAGAATTTTAAACTTTATTCTGTACTCCACAGGAAGCCAGTGGAGTGATTTTTACACCGGAGTTATGTGCTCCCTCCTTTTGGTGACTGTTAAGATCCTTGCTGCTGTACTTTGAACAAGCTGGAAGCTCATCAAAGAGGTTTTAGGGCACGCTGTCAGCAAAGCGTTACAGTAGTCAAGTCTTGAGGTGACAAAGGCGTGGATTAGTTTTTCCGCGTCACTTTTAAGAAGGATATTCCTGATTTTAGCTATGTTCCGCAAGTGTAAATATGCTGTTTTAGTTGCTTGGTTTATATAAGCCTTAAAGGAGAGTTCTTTGTCAAAAACGACTCCAAGATTCCTCAAAGTGTTGCTGGGTACAACACTGACATTATCGAGAGTGATTATCTGGTCGGCGAGGGAGTCACGCAGGCGCTTTGGACCGAGTAGGATCACTTCTGTTTTCGCCGAGTTAAGCAGTAGAAAGTTAAGAGTCATCCACGTCCTTTATGCAGGCACTAAGCCTTTTCAACTGATCTGTTTGATTTGGTTTCATTGACAGATAAAGCTGTGTGTCATCTGCATAGCAGTGGAAATTAATTAATATCACACAACCACAAGAACAGAGTAATAAAAGGGAGGTTTTCAATGCAAAGTCAATGGTGAAGCGCGTTCGAATGCATGCACGGACCGCGCTGGGAAGTCGAAGGGGTGGAACGCAGGAGATGAATTTTGCTTAACTTTTCCTCGGGACGTTTGTGAAGCAACCAATCAGAGAGTGGTCACGGGGACATTTGCGGACTGAGCGAGCAGACTGAAAATACTCGTAAACAGCCAAAACAGAAGCTACATCAGGACTAAACCAGGGTTGACAATGGGGGATATAGTGCTTGTTAACATGTGAGTTTATGAAACTGCTTTGAGTGTGTTCGCCGTTGCGGAAGTACCGTTTAATAATAAAATAAACTTATTGCGCAGCACTGTGAACACATACTACTGTTATATAAAGTCCATGGAAGGTCTCTGAACAGACACGCTGCAAAGCTGCATTATTGGAGAAGATATGTACACAAGAAGCTGCTAGCTAAACTGTTAGCATCAGAGCCCGCCGGCTACTTCCGGCGCGCGCCAGGACCTCTGGTCTGAAGACCCCTGCATCTGAAAACTAGAGAACGTGCGTTTCAGCGTTGCCGGTCTGAAAGCACCATAAGAAAGGCTACATGATTGCTTCCAACTGTTTTACAACCACAGTCAGAAGTGAGCACGGTGGCTGAGTGGATAGCACTCTCACTTCTCAGCAAGAATGTCCTGGGTTCGAATCCTGGTCGGAAATCCTTCCTGAGTTGAGTTTACGTGTTCTTCCTCCGGGTGCTCCGGTTTCCCCTACCATTAAAACCATGTACAATAGGTATGAATTCATTGAGTGATTGAATGGATGGTTGGTTGGGGCTTTGATGCACCAGTGTGTTTGGCATCTCGCTTCCAACATCACTGTGTGTGAATGGAAAAATATCTGGTTTCTGAACATTGCAAAGGGCTTTGGGTGACCTTGGGCTGGAAAATGCGCTATATAAATTACTTACTTACAAAGAATTTATTTTTGAGTAACCCATTTTTGATTCATTGATCAGCCAATCAGCCACCCTCACTCAACCAAAGATGTGATAGAGGCTAAATATAGATAAAGCCATAACATCTTAAACTTAACATTTCTTAAGCTGGAAGTTTTCAACAATGCTCGCCCCTTCTTTGAAGTGAAAGCAAAACAATACATAATGTTGTTATCTGAAAACAAATGAAAAAAATGATAAAGTGGAGTTTGTTTAAGTGACCAGCAGTAGTGAATAGTTTGTGGAACCTGAAAGTCTTTTGGGGTATGACTGCACATCTAAATGATTGAAAGTTTTGCCCATTTGTCTTTACAAAACAACTCAAGCTCTGTCAGATTAGAAGAGCGTTTGAACAGAAGTTTCAACAGATTTTCAGTCCAAACATATTTAGGTCTGGACTGTGACTGTTTGTTTAAACTTTCCCATTTAGCTGTGGCTTTATGAGTGTGTTGTCCTGTGTGTTTGTTCTAGATGTATCATCGATGATCAGAGCTGAGTGTAACAACTCCCCAGGGCTTCTCAAAAACAACTTCAGGAAACAGAAACTACTGGTGCTCAATGGTATCTCCTGATTTGCACACTCACACCTCTCACTGAGGTCCTCTCAATAAAATTAACTCTCAAGATTTCTAACCCTTAATAAGGGTTTTCAGCCTTTAACTGTTAACTGTTCACAAAAATAATTAATCTATTATCAAGTGAACATTTTGCTGTCAACAATTTTCAAACAAAACATTTTCACATCTTTGTCTGCTCGTATCAGCAATATGGAAAATATTGGTTTGACCACCCATTCACCATTTTTATTCTATATTTACAGCCAGCTTGGTTTCATTTGAGAGTTTGACTTCAATACATCATGGAAATGGTCAAAATCTTGAAATTGGATTATTCTTTTATTATTCTATGCTAGCCCTTGTCCATCAATATCCATCAATGTCCATCAATGTGCTTGATTTTCTGCATCCTGTGTTGCAGGGCTGACAGCAGGGGACTTGCAAGACAAGGAGGACATGTATGAGGAGATCATCCATCTCAAAAAGGTGACACATTTGTAGCATGAGATTAGAGCTGTCAGAACTAAGATGTGATAAACCTTTATTCGTCCCTTTCTGGGGAAATTTCAAAGTCATCTTTACACATGTTACAGCACAATAAATAAATAATAAATAATAATAATAAACCCTTCTTTCCTGTTTTTCTTTAGAGCCTGCACGCACACAAGTCTGACAACAAGCTGATGAGGGCGAGACTGCGCCGCCTTGAGGAGGACAACAGCAAGCGTGAGAAGCAGATCAGAGAGCTGCTGGAGCCCACCAAAGTCAGTCCAGAAAACGTTTGTCTAATACGGCTGTGTCTGGCACTATTGTGTCAGCAACATAGTTTAATCCAGTCCCAAAAAATATGGTTTGGTTCTTCTGACCTTCTTCAGGTTAATGAGGAGTAGCCCCTGGTACTTCTCTCCTGATTATTTAGAGTAAAATATCTTGAATCATTTCTTTGACGATCTAAACAAAGGATCCTCAAGCATGTGATGTGGTTGTTTTAGGTATAACAAGTAACACATATGAAGTTGGCAGCCTTCAATGGACATTGACTTCCTTCCATTTAGATCAGGGGTGCCCAAACCTTTTGCTTCCAACGGCCAAAGTAAAAATTTGCCAGTGGGCCGCGGGCCAAATACACCGATATTATGCATGAAACACAAATAAATGTAGATTTGATCAAGTTCTTTTAAATGCATTAATTATTGTCTATCAGTGCAAATCACAGCTGAATGAATGAAATCAACACAGTCTTAGTGAAGTGGAGGCTCCTGGGAAATATGCTGGTTTGAGGAGACTACAGTACGGAAAGATTCCGGCCGGGTAATCAGGGTCCAGAGGAGATAGATTTTCTGTCATGGCTTATTTACAGGTTAAAATCATATAAAAAACCTCAAAAAGAGAACAGAAACATACATTTTGTGTGCATCATGTACACTTGTATATTGTAAATAGTAACTGTAACTCTATTTTAAATGTAAATGTATTCCTTAGAAGTGTTTTTTATTCTTTATTTTTATTATCTTTGTTGCACTGAGCCAAAGCAATTTCCAAGTCTGTGACTTCCTGTTACTTACGTGGCAATAAAAATGATTCTGATTGTGATTTTCTATGTAAATAAACTGTTTTTTAAAACGCTACTAAACAAATAATGTTCCTGCTAGTAAATGAAAGTACTAATTTGTATTAAAAAATATCATACTCCCAAATTAAATAATCTATATTTTTAACCTGCTCATGTCAGTAAACTGTTTGTTGAAGACCTTTTTATAAACAGTTTTACATTACTATAGTACAGTGATTTATAATGTATAGGTTTATTGTACTAATGACATTTACTTTACAAAAGTAAAGTCTATTTTCATATATTTATTTTGAACAAAAGTTTTTAACTACATTTGAATCATATTACTTTATCTTAGCTTTTATCAAAAAGGGGAGACATCACAGATCAGTAGATCTGGTTTTAGCACACTTTTAAACAATACATTTTAACATGTAGTAATACATTTGGGAACATAATTGCTAACGTTTGTCGCATGGCGCCGTAAAGATGGCGCCGTGGCAAGAGCTCTGGTGTGTGTCGTCTTCTCTGTCTGGTGCACACCGGGGTAGTCTTGCACAGTTTTTCCAATGTGGTTTTACTGCAAATGGCAAATAAATGAATCTGAATCTGAATCTGATCTGAATCTGAATCTGAATCTGAATCTGATCTAACTGCATTTTCTAACCATGATCAAGTTTTAACTCTGTTTTAACTTAATATTTTTAACATAGGGCAAGTATTCTCAATTAAATCAGACTAGTTAACCTTGATTTGTTCCTGGAGTTTTGTTTTGTTTTGCCTTAACACAGTACAACATTTATAAACAATCAAAACAAAGTAACTTTTAAAGAGTCCGTGTTTCCCCTCCTTGAAAGGGCTCTTGAACGCATCATAAAACTCCGCGTAAGTTCTGACATTCAGTGATCGCGAGTGATGACTGCGCTTACCGGCTTCTTTCATGGGGCTGTAGAAGGGTTTGTTTTGCACAGTATTTGTTGCTTCTACTTGCGTGGATTGTGCGCTGCAATCCCTGCTTGTCCTGCTTGATCTCACTCTGAAGTGTGTGTGTCCGTCTTTTTTAACACACCGGGTGGGTGCGGATTGCGCAGGTGAATAGTTCCACTCGCCATTTCCCTCCGGTGAGGAGGGGGAGTGGCAGTTCGGCAGCACAATCCTCTCAATTTGATAAAACATTAAATAGCTCCAAAAAATAATAATAGTAGGCTGAAAACAAAGAACATAAAGGGGCCTCGCACCCAATTGTTTTAAAAGATGTGTTTGATTTTAAAAAACATTTTAGTGCAAGTAGATGTGAACCATGAGTGAGGAGTGTATCTCGATACAACAGTAAAGTACTGGACAGGCGCAGTGCAGAGGGCGTCTATGCGCCCGCGTGACCTCAGACATTTCACTGTTTGTTCAGCGAGGCTGAGGGACGCAGATAGCAACTTATAGCAGAGGTGGGCAATGTTTGGCGGGCCAACTGAAATGGTCTGGCGGGCCAACTTTGGCCCGCGGACCCCACTTTGGGCACCCCTGATTTAGATGAATCGTCAAGTGGACAGTGTGACGTTAACAGATGAGAAGGGGGCTGTCATAGAAACCTATAAATGTCTATACTCACCGGCCACTTTATTAGGTACACCTTGCTAGTACCGGGTTGGACCCCCTTTTGCCTCCTGCCGTCTTAATCCTTCGTGGCATTGATTCAACAAGGTACAAGACACATTCCTCAGAGAGTTTGTGCTATATTGCATATGGCAACATGCAGTTTCTGCAGATTTGTCAGCTGTACATCCATGATGTGAATCTCCTGGTCCACCACATCCCAAAGTTTCTCTCTTGGATTGAGATCTGTGACTGTGGAGGCCATTACAGTACAGTGAACATATTGTCATGTTCAAGAAACCAGTCTGTAATGATTTGAGCTTTATGACAAGGTGTTTTATCCTGCTGGAAGTAGCCATCAGAAGATGGGTACACTGTGGTCATAAAAGGATGGACATGGTCAGCAACAATACTCAGGTGGGCTGTGGCGATGCAACGATGCTCAATTGGTACACCATTATACCCCCACCACCAGCCTGAACCGTTGATACAAGGCAGGATGGAGATCCATGCTTTCATGTTGTTGACTGTAGATCAGAAGTAGATCAGAACTTTCTGAAATACACAGACCAGCCCGTCTGACACCAACAACCATGCCACGTTCAAAGTCACTAAATTCACCTTTCTTCCCCATTCTGATGCTCGGTTTGAACTGCAGCAGATCGTCTTGACCATGTCTACATACCTAAATGCATTGAGTTGCTACCATGTGATTTGCTAATGAGGAATTTGCATTTAAGTGGAGTTGGATAGGTTTACCTAATAAAGTGGTCGGTGATTGTTGTAAGATGACAAAAGGGTTACTCAACAGAGAATGGCCTCGGCAGAAACTAACCAGCGTGAGATAAGAAAACACGCGATTTAGGAATGTCCACCCCAGAGCAGACATCTGAGACAGCAGAGGTCGAATGGAGGACTAACATTAATCACAAAGATACCAACCTTCAAACCTGGACAATGATCGACTCCAGAAACGAGCATCTTTGCCTCCCTCTCCGGCGAGATCAAAGATCAAATCTGGTCTGTACAATCTCCGATAAGGCCTGAAGACATTCCTCCCAGGCAGACGGGCGATCCACCAACGGCGTTCTGACGCCCCCCAGTGGACACGGGATGCTAGCACACCCGAGATGGACAGTCGAAACCATCGCTCTGTGAAGTCATTATTCTGATAACCTTTACTGTGCTCTACACTTGTGTACCATTGTCTGTAATGTAAATGCGCTGTGTGTCTGTATATGTGTTATAAACGTCGGTGTCAGTGATGCATATGTCGTTATAACCATGTCTGTCACGGTCTGTCATGAAAGATTTCCAGGGAGGCGCACAAAGATGACGTCATAGACGCGCCCCCTGAACTGGGACAGAAAGCACACGCAAGTCGAAAAACGACCTCTTGGCATTTTTAATGAACCTAACAACGTCTCCAACGCAACCTCTGGGCCTGTAACAACTTTGGGCCTCTATCTCCACAAGGACAGCTAGCAACACCCGCTGTCGGAGACGACGAACTCTCATCAACCAGCCACTTTCCGGCTTTTGGACGGGACGTCTACACATGCGGGCGCTTTTCTAGGCGGCGTGTGTGTGTGTGGATTTCAAGTTTTGCTGCGATGTGGTCTTCGTCTCTCCTGCTCAAACAAAGGAACACGTGGACCCCCCCCCCCCCTTACTACGTCAAAGTAAGACTGTTCTAATTGCAACGTTAATGTGTGATTCACGTGATATATTTAACATCTCTGTTAAATGTGACCAAACCCCTCCTTGTTGATTTTTTTTCCTATTTTCGTATGTAGTCAATAAACCCACGATAAACTTAGTCATCGTCAATTTGATTTCGAACTCAAGATCTATCAGATTGTGAGACTGATCGAGGCAGATTAGTACTGGATCTGTTGTAGATGTTTTCAAATTATACTGGTGCCCTTAAATATAAATTCAGATCCCTTTAAAGGAACGGCGAGACTCCAACCTGGAGACTAGCCGCTCCACATTCATTTTTCCTACCTTACATTGCATAAGTCTATTAATTTTGACGTGTGACATGTTTTTTAGGCACCGGCGTTTGCCTTCACTCTGGTGGACAACAAGAAAGAAGGCAGTGTGGTAAGTAAAAGCTTTTCCGAATATTACTTAATGTGTTTTATGAAGTAATATTTTACAAAGTAAGCAGTGTAAATGAAGTGATAAGTGTAAATTACTTACTTACTTAATGTCTGTCTGAGGAACTTGCAAGTGTCCTGTTGCAACTTATGGCCTTGACAGAAATGTCTGATATAGAGAATTGATATCTGGACGTCCTGCCCATTGTTCTTGTCATGAAAACGGCCGACTTGTAGCATGTTTTTCACATTGAAAAACTAGATGACCTGAAAAAAGTATAGCATGCGTTCTAACGGAGATCCTTGGTTTGGTGATTGATTTTTTATCTTATTCAATCTAACAAGGAATTGTCTCATCAAATGATTATTTAATTTTTTTATTAACTACTAGAGATGCGCGGGTCAGCTTTTTCTACCACCCGCCCTGCCCGCCCCAAATCAATCCTGCCTGCCCAATCCAGAGAATTGCGCTTCGATTACTAAACCCGTGATTTACTAAAATTATAACTTAAATAACATTCTAATGTCAATAGATAGATAAAGACAGACAGATAGTTAGTTAGTTAGTTAGTTAGATACTTTATTGATCCCCGTCGTAGAAATTCAGGTGTCCAGGAGCAGAAGACTCATCCAGGTTTGCTGGTATTGTCTCTGCTGACCCAGACATATCAGCAGTATGAGGTGTGCTGGTCGCCGTAAGCCATGGACCGGGTGTGCTGGTTGCTGCTGGCTCAGGCATCTCCAGGGGTGTAACTGCCCTTTCTTCACTGTGGCTGGTATCGGTCTCTGGAGATTGTTCGGCTGCACATAAAAAACTCTGAACAACATTGCATTTTATAGCACGTCTCTAGGATCCTTGCAATTCTGAAGACCCCTCTTCATTAGTGAATACTAGGGTTGGGCACCGAGAACCGGTTCCTATTTGGAACCGGTTCCTAAAGTGCGGTTCCGGAACCGTTAAGAAGACGTTTGTATTTTGATTCTTTTTTCGATTCCTAAATGCCGGATGCGGCCCGCACAGCGGCGTCGGAAGCGTTTGGAAGGTGGGGGGGGGACACGTTTCAAAAATGCTTAGCAGCTGTCCGTGTGCGTGTGCGTGTGCGTGTGCGCGTGTGCGTGCGTGCGCGGGGTTCCTTGTTTTTTAATTTGTTTTTATGTAAAGCACTTTCTGTTGCCTTATGGCAGGAAAAGTACTTATGAAATAAAATTTGATAAAAAATTATGTTTTTTTTTTCTCTCCTGCACCTCAAAGAATCAGAATCGAGAATTGTTTAGAACAGGAATCGATAGTGAGAATCGGAATCGGAAAATTGCAAACGATGCCCAACCCTAGTGAATACACATGCAGGTCTACCTGTACATTCCATCGGACAAAGGCATGCATTAGCATTGGCACCGGGGGCCACGCGGACAAAAGGTTCAGGTGAGCAACCCCCAAGGCCTACTTTAGTACGTTCATTTCAATATTTACAACACATCATCTTCATACACATTCAATATGTAGTTTGTAGGTGTTTTGTAAACGGAAACTCATATAAATAGCTGGGGTTTCAATACTCACCACTTATCAGTGGCACACAACGACTCGACTCCAACAGTTTTAGCCGGGTGGTAGGCTATTGTGCCCAAGCCCACTTTCCGCGGTCACATAGCACCTAAAGCCCGGATCTAATCGTAAGTAAGTAAGCTTTTATTTATATACCGACTTTCACAGACCAGAGTCACAAAGCGGTTTACATTTGTTATTTTTGGGCACTTGTCCTCTCACTCCACACAGAGATAATCGTGAAGTGGGCCCTGGCCCACTTAAACTCTGCTTTAGGTTGTGCATGTGACCGTATATGTACCCTGTGCTCCTCTCTCCTCATTGCTGGTCCATTGCATTGTCAATGTCCTGTTTTGTCTTGTCAAGTTCTGTCTTTGTTCCTGGTTCTGTATTTTGGATTTTGAGTTTAGTTTTCACCTGGACTTTTATTTTATTAAATCATTATTTTTTGCATTCCTGCTTTTGGAGAAAACCAGGTCAAAATGTCCACACCAGGACAAAAATTTGCTGCGCACTCAAGTGTTCAGAATGGGCAAAGATTACTTTTGTCCACTAGATGTCAGCGTAACATGTATTGAGCTAGCTCAGAGGCTCAAAACCTTTGTGTCAAGTGCAGTGTTGGGTGTAACGAAATAAAAATTTGAGTAACGTTGTAGTGTAATGTGTTATTATGAAAATACCTTTAATTATGTTACAGTTACTACCTAAATACTTCGTTACCGGCGGCACCGGCCTCGGGAAAGCAGGGGAAAACTGCACTACCGCTGCTTGTGTACCTGCGTGCTTAAGTCACGTTGAGCACATGAGCGAGTTTGTTTGTAAAGCAACATGGCAGAGCCAGAGGAGAGGAATTCGTTTTACCGGTGGAGATATGCACACTATTTTAGCTATATCAGTCAAAAAGATAAAAACGTTGTTGTGGAGTGCAAGCTTTGCGCGGGCAGCAAGTGATTGCTCTGTTCACATGCTCAGCGCTCTGCGCACTGTATTTTCCCTGGTTCTTGTCTGTCAGGCGCAAGGGCTGCTTGTGTGTGTCTGTGGGAACTAATTATTTTAAAATAGTCTCTTTCAATTGCAAGTTTTGCAATGTGTTTTGTTTAATCAATGTATAAAAATAAATGTAATGAAATTTAAATGGCACCTTGGCCTGTCTTATTACCTGTGTGCTGCAGGACAGTTCCCTTTACTAACATATAATACTAATACTAAAATAGGGTGGGGTTGTTGCAACATCTACTTAGAAGTTATCCTAAATTACAACCAGCTAAAGCGCGGTACCACAACAAACGAAAAAGTAGCGCAATAGTTACTTTTACTGGTTACTAGTTACTTTTATAGCTAACTTTTAACTAAGTTAGTAACTCAATTACTTTTTTGGAGAAGTAACTATAACTAATTCCTTTGTCAATGTAACCCAGCACTGGTCAAGTGTCAGTTTGAAAATATACATACAGTGCCTCTCGTAAGTACAAATACAGCATAAACCTTTTATCTTTTAATTACTTTACACACAAGTAACAGACAATTGTGAAGTGAAAGCAAAATGAGACATGATTCTGTTATTTAAAAAATAAAAAATAATATAGAAACCCGGGCAAACAAAAGTATTCATATAGCATGAGTTAATACTTGTGGAAACCCCTTTTGCTGCTATAACAGCAGCAACTCTTTTGGGGTATGAGTCTGCAAGATTTGGACACATATAGACAGAAAGTTTAGCCCACACCTCTTTACAAAACCACTTGGAGAGCGTTTGTGAACAGCAGTTTTCAGGTGTGTGTGTGCGTGTGTGTGTGCAGGTGGTGAAGGGGCTGAAGCAGCGCATCCTCAAACTGGAGCAGCAGTGTAGGGAGAAGGAGAGCGCTCTCAGGTAACAAAGCGCTTCCATCTCCTGGTAAAATGGGGAATTACATTCTGTTTTTATTGTAAATGTCTAACATGGTGTTAGGGATGTAAAAAACTATGAATTTTCATGACCGACCACCGAGCCTCATTAACCGGTTGAAACCGGTTAACCGCGTAGTTTAAAATAGTCCACGTTCTTTGAAATAACAGCCATTTCGAGCCGCGTACTTTTCATAAGTGCAGCTGAGCGTTCTACGGGATCAGAGCCGAGACAGCGGCGCCAAAACCCGTAACAGCTCCGGCACCTTTGCGCACAGAGAACTGCTGTTTTAATCTTCCCATTCTGCTGTGCTCCGGCTTAAAGCATTTTTAAGCAAAAGACAGCTCGCCAACATGGTCAGAGCAGCGAGTGACGAGCCGCGTCTCAAAGGTCTCCGCTAAAGTTTAAAAGTGATCAGTGTGGAGCTGATTCCAAGGACCAGCAGCACAAACATGGTCCATGTGGTTTGCAAGAATGCTTTGGGCTCCGTGACACAGAGGAGCGCGACAGACCGGTATGTGTGTGTGTACAATACATGTATGTGTGTGTGTATATGTCTGCGTGTGTGTATATGTATGTGTGTGTGTGCAATACATGTATGTATGTGTGTATATGTCTGTGTGTGTGTATATGTAAGCTATGTGTGTGTGTGCAATACATGTATGTATGTGTGTGTAAATATAAGCTCCAATGTAGTTCTGACCCGCACCAGTGTGCAACTAGCAGGCGGTAACAGAGGGGAGAGATGATGCGTGTGGATGTTACGTGTCAATGGAGGGGGGGAAAGTGTGTGTGTGTGTGTGTGTGTGTGCGTGTACATGTGTGCGTGCATATGTGGCGCGTACGGCAGAGTTTACTGTTACATTGGCGCACACAGCTAGATAGGGACCCGCTCGTCACATCGTGCAAATAGGGCTTAAAATAGCGTTATGAAGAGACCTCCCCTCTCCCCCTTTTCTCTTTTTTAACCGACAGCTTTGACCGGTTAACGCTGTGACGGTCAACCACCGGTTAAACGGTCACCGATTTACATCCCTACATGGTGTGACATAATTTGTAATTGCAAGGAGAAAAACTGTCACGCTCAGTCTGATCTATGTCCTTTGCTCTCCCTTAAGTGGCTTGTTTTTTGAAGATAAAAACACACCAATTCATGGAAATGAATTAATCATGCTTAAACAAACTCCTCTTGTTGGGCAGCGGGTTACCAGTTCATAGGTGCAAGTCAAAGAGGCCAGGTTCCGGGGTCCCATCATCACGTCAAGAAAAAGACAATGGACAATGAACAGCAATGAACAGAATACAGACTCATAATGAGATAAAGTAGGAGGGAGGAGAGGATAGGGATCAAGTTACAAGGATTTTTTACTTAAGTTCTATCACTAAGGGCCCGTCCCAATTCTGAGGGCCATCAAATTGTGAGGGCCCTCAGCAGAAGAGTGCCCTCCCATAGGTGAGTGCACTCGCAGGATATTCTCCCTAAGAAATGGGACCCCCATGGATCTAGGGGACAATATGCAAATCGACGCAGCAAGCTTGGTCCTCGTCACATGCATTATCGATGAATTATACTGAAATATCAGCACAGTCTGTACAACACTTTTATTATGCGTATTGGGGGAAACAAATTAATAGTTTTGAAACTTGAATATTGAGCAGAGAAATCAAAAAATATTTGTTAAATCAAAATCGTCTAAAGCAGGAAATAAAATTGAGATTTTACTTTTTTTGCCATATCGCCCAGCCCTAACACACACATACACAAACAGAGAGACAGACAAACATATGCACACAGAGACAGACGGGTACAGCTGTGGTCCTGCGGATCACAAACCTATCAAAGCTATGCTCTGAACTACAGTGCCTTGCGAAAGTATTCGGCCCCCTTGAACCTTTCAACATTTCGCTACATTTCAGGCTTCAAACATAAAGATATAAAATTAATTTTTTTTGTCATGAATCTACAAGTGGGACACAATCGTGAAGTGAAACGAAATTTATTGGATAATTTTAATAATTTTAACGAATAAAAAACTGAAAAGTGGGGCGTGCAATATTATTTAAAAAAAATATTAAAAATAGAGCACGGAGGGGCCATAACATTTATTTTAATTTAGATTCTATACTCAACCGCCAGCCAGTAGACTTATTTTAAGACCAAAATTCCCACCTTTTCCCTCCTTTACGTCTTTTTTAACAGTGGAAGTTAATGTCTTGCTTTCTAATAATGTTGCCTAATGGCAGCATATGGTGTGAAGAAAATCAGGCTGAATTTTACTTTTAAGTAGGCTGAGGAGTTTTGATTCACGTTAACACTGGTATTTATCTGATAAATGGTATTTAAACCAATCTAGTGCTGGAAGGTGAACCTCCGTCCTAGCCTCAAATCACGCACAGACTGGTACAGGTTTTGCTCAAGAATATCCCTGTAATTAGCACCATTCATCTTTCCCTCAACTCTGACCAGTTTCCCAGTCCCGGCTGCTGAAAACCATCCTCACAGCTTGATGCTGCCACCACCATGTTTCACTGCGGGGATGGTGTTCTTTGGGGGATGTGATGTTTTGGGTTTGCGCCAGACATAGCGTTTTCCTTGATGGCCGAAAAGTTCAATTTTAGTCTCATCAGACCAGAGCACCTTCCTCCATACGTTTTGGGAGTCTCCCACATGCCTTTTCGCAAACTCAAAACGTGCCATTTTGTTTTTTGCTGAAAGTATTGGCTTTCTTCCGGCCACTCTGCCATAAAGCCCAACTCTATGGAGCGTACGGCTTATTGTCGTCCTATGTACAGATACTCCAGTCTCTGCTGTGGAACTCTGCAGCTCCTCCAGGGTTACCTTAGGTATCTGTGCTGCCTCTCTGATTAACCCTCTAGGCGCCACGGTCGACTTAAGTCGACAAGCTGCGGTACTGTTAAAAACGGCCGAGTGTGACCAACTGAGTGTCAAAATTCATTCATACTCCCTGCCACTAGTTGGCAGACATGTCAGACTACCTCCCTGGCCCCAAAAAACGTCATGCTCCTATACATAGTTCCCACATGACGTCACTACATACGGGGATTTGCCGACCCGGTGCCATTTGTGTTGGCATGCTGTGGGCAAAACAATAGAAAAAGAAGCTGAAACGTGTTAATGTCGTGATAAAGTTGAAAATGGTCATCTCCTGCTGGGTCAATGGATGTTCAAATCGTGCCGGAGGTTCCGTTAAACTTGGATTTTACAGTATACCCATCATTAGACTTCATGAATGTGAGAAGACTAAGCTTTTGTCAGAACAACCACGGAGGTTATGGCTTGCGAAGATAAACAGGCAAGAAACTCCCTCAAAACACGCAAGAATATGCTCGGAGCACTTTGTGTCAGGTGCGTATCGTATCTTATAATGTGTTGACAGACGTAATTTACTCAGTACTAACTTGTGTATGCTGATAGCTGGTAACTTGAGAGTTTCATTATTTAGATTACTTTATTATGAGGAGGATCGGTGTCGCGTCCGAGGCTCTCGAGGGCAACGTAAATGTATTAAATAGATAATAATAGTTCTATGGTGGGCTAAAACAATGTTCACAAACAGCATTGCTTCTGTAAAAAGATCTGTGTCATAAAATAAACTGCTCTTTACGCCTGGAAAAATCAGTTGCCCACCATTCACCAAAACATACGGTCAAAAACGCGGAAATAAACAATAACAGCAATCCAGTGTCCGTGTGGCATTAGCATTAATTAAATTAATTGTTAATATAATTAAAATAATTAAATGGAGCTCCAACTGGTATTAAATCTAAAGTTTTTGAGAAATGTTTGCATTGCTTGTTAATTTTTGCTGCATAATTTGATCAAATATGTAAAACATGTCCGTAGCACGTTAAACTGTGGTGCCATTGTATTAATATACAATTATTTGCTCAAAAGTTGCCCTTTTTTTTCCAATTTGCGTTTGAATATCTACATTTATTCTCATTCTTCTGTTTAATGGAATGCACAAACACAGCAGCGTGCCATCAAAGATGGCGTCTCCGAGGAGGTCATGTGACATTCATTGGTCTGTGGGAACTATGTATACAAAATATTCGAGCAAGACCGCGTTGAACCAGTGCAGAAATCATAGCGAAGTGAATGCAGCTGCGGGGCAGCCTGTGAGTGTTGTACCGCACCAAACACTAACTTTAGACACTTTGCACAGGGTCTGCAGTGGGAACAGTGTTTCTTAGAGTAAGACCAGTCATTGGGAGGTTCGGAGACAGGTTAGATTTGCGGAGAACAACCCTGGAACTCGGGTCGGGGCGCCGCGCCGCGCCGCGACCTCCCGCCTCCGCTCAAGTTTCCGCCAAAGTCTCCGCTAAAAGTGCTTCCCACATATGTATTTTCATGCCTCACGTAATCACCGGGACAGTAATGTGTTGGAGAAGCTTTGTCTTGTGTGTGTTAGACGAGAGAGAGATCAGGGGAGATGAGAGAGAGAGCAGGGGAGACATCTGCAGCAGGAGGGTCGCGGTGACGCGCTTCTCCTGGAGGCGCGCGTCTGGGCAGACTGCTCACAGCAGCATCATGATTTGTATTTTTTACTATTTTCATGAACATTTACAATGTTACAGTGTGTGCTCTGTGTGTGTTCATGTTCTAGTGATAAATATATGTCTGTCAGTTAGAAAAATACAAATATTGTATGAAAATTCTAAAATCCACTATTTCTAACGCCAAATGACGTCATAATATGCAAATTAGATGGGGGGATTTATTCTCTACATACACTTTGGACCATCCTTTATATTTTTCTAATTTACAGAAAGCCTTTATCTCTTATCACTTTTAAGTTATAGCCTTTTGAAATTAAGATGTCAAAATCGAGCGTTTTGGAAAAAAACCTCTGGCGCTTAAAGGGTTAATGCCCTCCTTGCCCATTCGACATTGGTCATCAATGTCGAAATCGGACTTCCGGTGACGAGAGCATGGACGCGTGAGCGTGCAGCTCCTCTCAAACTTTGAACCAATTTGAAGAAATAATGGTTTAAAGTAAAACAAATCATGAAAGAGACTTATGCTTGACTGCGACAAGGAATGTATCTTCGCTCTGGTAAAGTAGCAGAAAAAACGGAAAAAGAGAGAAAGAGAAAGAAGAAGGACAAAAGCCTGGCGAATATGGACGAGCAACGCTTTAAGGAGGTGTTTAAAGATGCCGCAGCTGAAATCGTTCAAGAGCTGCGTGAGTTCCGTGGAGAATTTAGAGAATTCCGAGAAGAAACGAAGAGGGAAATGGACGAAATAAAGAAAGAAATGGGACAGCATAAGTCCAAAATGAAAGGCATGAAAGAACGCGCGACCGCAGTAGAGGAAAGGGTTAACTGCGCCGAAGAAAGAGAAACTATACTTGTGGAAGTGATGGAAACGCTCACACAAGATATGGACGAGATCCAGAAGCGGGTTGAGTACCTAGAAAATAAATCGAGGCAGATGAACGTGCGCATCTACAATGTGAAGGAGAATAATGACCCTGCTAATATGAGAAATTTTGTAGAAACGCTTCTACATGAAACTCTGCAAATCCCGAAAGAACAACTGGGAATCGTGGCAGCGCACCGTTCTGGGGCAACCCAAAAGGCAGACGCATCAGGGAACAAGCCACGAAGTATCATCGCTCGCTTTCCGACTTGGGAGGCCAAGCAACAGGTGCTGAAGGCGGCATGGGGGAAGAAAGAAGTGCTCTACCGCGGAGGCCGCATCTACCTGGATCAAGATTTCACAGCGAAACTACAAACCCAAAGGAAAGGCTTCATGCGTATCCGAAGCCATCTGAGGGAGAAGGGTATTAAAGCGCATGTCCGATACCCAGCGAAGCTGTTTGTGTTGGAAGAAAACGGCACGAGGATTTTCAACACTCCACAGGACGCAGAGCAGGCCTATGGCCTCACCCCAAGCGCTAGGCCTAAGGACCGAGGAGAATGGGTGCACCAGCTGAAACTATTGGGATGGGAGAGGGTGAGGAATGGGAGTGAAGGCTGAGTCGAACGGGAAGAAGAAGACGAAAGGTATGGACATTTAAAGTACTATGGGGGAGTAGAGAGTAATTTAATCTATATAAAAGTTGAGCTGGACTATGTGACTGAGATGGAGCTGTATGGGTGCACGATCGGGAATTACTGTATATTATTGAAGCACTAATTAAAAGGAAGATAAAACAGGAACCACTCTCCATATTTAATTTAGTTTAAGGTTCTTTTTTTTTTTTTTTTTTTTTTTTTTTATATAGTTTTTTTTATTATTACTACTATTATTGTAAGTATTATTTATTATTTTAGAACGAGACCTCTTTTTATTTATCTCTTTCTCTCCTTTTTTTTAATGTTTATTCTTTTTTTTTTTTTTCTCTCTCTCCCTCCCATTTCTCTTTTCTCTTTCCTAGATGCTAATTTTTCTTAGTTTTTCTGTAGCCAGGCATATTTATTCTCAGGGGATATAGCCTTTCTCTAAATATTTTTTGAATTAAGACACGATATAAGTAAAAGGTTCGGAGTTTGAGAGGAACTTAGGGGCTGCCAGTAGTTTGAGTGAAAGTGTTCAAGAATGAACACGGAAATCATGCAAAAAGTAATGCATGAAAATCCACAAAGACCATCATTGAGAATGATGGACCAATTGGAAGTAATTTTTGTTTTTCTAATTTACTTTTTTTCTGAGGAGGAATATAAATTAAGTCGTATTGTATGGTTGTGTAGTGTTTTAGTTTTATCTCATAGAAAAGAAAATATAAATGATCATGAATGAGATAAAAATTGTATCACAAAATATAAATGGCCTTAATAACTGTATTAAAAGGAAAAGAGTTTTGCAAAATTTGAAACGAGAGGGGGATATAATATTGTTGCAAGAAACGCATTTAAACAAAATAGAGCATGAGAAACTTGGTAAACTGGCATCAGCCCAGGTCTTTGCATCGTCTTATGGCACAGCCAGAAGAGGAGTAGCTATTATAATACCAAAACGTATTCCGTTTGAACTTGAAAAATGTGTTAAAGATAAAGAGGGCAGGTATGTGTTAGTAGTGGGAAAGGTGGATGGTAAGGCGATGTCTTTGTTAAACATTTATAATCCACCTGGACAAGATTCTGAGTTCATGAGGAGAATGGTTTCATTACTAATTACAGAAGCAAAAGGGTTAGCAATCATGGGAGGGGATTTTAATATGGCAATGTCTACTAAAGATACTCAAAGTAAAGGGAAACACAAAGCTGAAAAAAAACGCTACATTATTAAAAAAGATAGAAAAGGAATTGGGTTTGACTGATATATGGAGGCATCTTAATCCTCATGAAAGAAAATATACCTTCTACTCCGATGCACATAAGATTTATTCCCGGTTGGATTATTTTTTTATGTTTAAGGATGACATCACAAAAATTAAGAAGTGTGAAATAAGACCCATAATACTGGGGGACCATGCTCCAATTACGTTAACCATTTCTTTGGGAAATGGGAAAGGAAGAACACTATGGAGATTGAATAATTCTTTACTCCAGGACGAACATTTTAAAGACAGAATTCAACAAATTATAGAAGCTTTCTTTCAAAATAATGACAAAGAGGAGATAACACCAGTTATACTGTGGGAAGCCGCAAAAGTTACCATACGTGGTGAAATAATATCCCTCACTTCTTGGAGAAAGAAAATGTATATGCAAGAGATGAATGCTGTAAAAAGTGAAATAGAACGACTGCAACAGGAGCATGAACAGACAGGAAACTATCAAATTAAGAAAAAGTTAATTGAAAAACAAAATAAATTGAATGAAATTTTGACAGAAGAAATAGTCAAAGGTCTTGCACTTACCAAACAAAAATTTTATGATAACAGTCCTAAAGCTTTAAAACTTTTAGCATTTAAATTGAAAAAACAAAGAGAACAGGCAACCATTTCAAAAATTCTAGGAAATGCTTTTAACTACCATACAGAAAAAAATGAAATCACAGAATGTTTCCTCAAGTACTATAACGAGCTATATGAAGAAACAGGATGTAGAAGTAGTGAAAGCAGTCAATATTTGAAGTCACTACATTTACAGCAGGTAACCTCAGAACAAAACGCAGAACTTATAAAACCAGTGACTGAACAAGAAGTCCTGGCTGCTATACAGAAGAGCAAGGTGGATAAGAGTCCAGGAAGTGACGGATACACTAATGAATTTTACAAATATTTTAACCAATTACTAGTACCAATTCTATGTAGGTTGTTTAACTGGATAATCGTAAAAGCTGTTTGGCCCCCCACATGGAACGATTCAATAATTAGTGTTCTTCCAAAAGAAGGCAAAGACCTAACTAAATGTAGTTCATACAGACCAGTGTCTTTATTAAATGTGGACCAAAAAATATTTACATCTATTATGGCTAACAGACTATCAATAATAGTTCCGCATTTGATAAATAAAGATCAAACCGGTTTTGTGCAAGGAAGATTGTTGTCAGACAATGTGAGGAGGATTCTGAATTTGGTAGATTGGGCAGAGAAACATAGGCAGCAGGCTCTAATGCTGACATTAGATGCTGAAAAAGCCTTCGATCGGTTATCTTGGGATTTTATTTTTGACACTTGTAAAGCTTTTGGTTTCCATGATTATTTTATAAATGTTCTGAGAGTGATGTATAAGAATCCTCAAGCAGCTGTAAAAGTAAATGGAACATTGTCGAGGACGTTTAGCCTGCACCGCGGTGTAAGGCAGGGCGACTGTCTCTCACCGCTGGTTTATGTACTATGTATAGAGCCTTTAGCAGAGAGCATAAGACAAAATAAGAACATATGTGGGATTAGCCTGGGGGGTTATGAATACAAATTAGCGATGTATTAAGACGATGTGATGGTGACAATGTTGGAAGTTGGGAAATCTTTGGATAATTTAATGGAAGAAATACAAATATATAGTCAACACTCCGGGTACAAGTTAAACGCACAAAAAACAGAGGCTATGGTGATAGGAGAGGTGGATAATGAAATTAAGAGTAAATTTAATTTTAAATGGGACTGTGACAGTGTAAAGTACCTGGGGGTACATATACCAAAAAGCATGGGTAAACTTTTTGAAATTAACTATGATAAATTAATTAATCAAGTTAAAACGGAGTTTAGTAGATGGAAGATCTTGAATTTATCAATGCTTGAGAAAATTCAATCTATCAAAATGATTACTCTGCCCAGATTTTTGTTTATGTTTCAAACTCTGCCGAGCTACATACCACCCATGTACTTTAAAGAATGGGATAACTTGATGAGGAAATTTATCTGGGATGACAAAAAACCACGGGTGAAGCTTAAAAACTTAAAATTGCCAAAATCAGGGGGAGGGTTAGCATTACCAGATCTAGAGACATATTTCAAAGTAGCCCAGGTGAAGTCAATAATAACTTGGATAAGCGATTCTAATAATCCAAGATGGAAAGAAATGGAAACACATAAGTTATATTTAATTAAATCTGCTATATTTATAACTAAAGATAAAGAACTCAAAGAAGAAATAAAGAATAACTACTGTATAGAAAACACCATTAAGGTGTGGAAGAGAGTTATTAAATGCATGAAGATAAAGGAGGAAGAAATGGTTTATCTGAGGGAAATATCTAGAGACCCTGAATTTAAGGCAAACGCAACAGATCAACTGTTTAATACGTGGGCAGAGAATGGACTCACAAGATTCCATCAACTGTTTAAAAATGGTCAAATGGAATCTTTTGAAAACATTTCTAAACAATATAACATACCAAGAAATCATTTTTATAAATATCTGCAAATTAGAAGCTATTTGAATAGTAAATTAGGAAAGATTAAAGGTGATCTAAACCCCCTGATAACTTATATGGCAAATAATGGTCATAAGAAATTAAAAAATGCTATGAGTCAGTTATACCAAATTTTTCTGCAACAAAAAGAGAAAATGGCAACCAACGTTAAGGTAAAATGGGAAGAAGAGTTTCATATACAAATAACCGAAAGCGAGTGGGAACAGATTTGTGCTGGAGTCCATAAATCCATGAGTTCCTTATTCTGGAGAGAGTTTGCTTGGAAAATAATTACGAGATACTTTTTGACTCCAGAAAGTATGAGTAAATATAAAGGGGGAAATTGCAAATGTTGGAGGAATTGTGGAGAAGAAATTGCAAACTATACACATATTTTTTATACCTGTAAAATAATACAACCCTACTGGAAAGAAGTATTTCAAATTGTTGAAGCGATACTGGGAAAGAAACTTGATTTAAAATCAGAAAATATTATATTAGGAAAAATCCCAATGAATATAAACTCAGATGAAAAGTATATTTTTCAAATTCTTAGAATCACAGCATTAAAGATCATAACAAAGGAGTGGAAAAAAAGTAATCCACTGGATATTAAAAAATGGATTAATAGTATACAAGAAGTAAAACTGAACGAGAAGTTAACTCACAAAATAAGGAACATGGACCATGAGTTTGACAAAAAATGGTTTATAAAAGAAATGGACAGCACATGAATATTGTGAATCAGTGGTTAACTGTGACTGTGCAGCGGAGGTTGATTGTACGTTGGGACTAATTTCTACTAAGGGGGATCAATAAATCAATAAAAAAATTTTTTTAAAAAACCCTGTCGCTGAACCTAGGAAAGTGTTGTGTAGGTGTATATTGTGTGGGATTGAAGTGATAATGGATTTAAACAAATGGAAAATAGATAATAATAATGAAGTGTGTGGATACGTATGCAAGTATACGGGTAGAGCATGTGCAGTGGGCCAAGAGGAGTGGGAGTGTGTTTTGGGATGCTGGTGAGGGACAATAGATATGGGTGTCTGGTGCGGTGTGTCTGCATGTGTGAGTCCCCTGATAGTGCATAGGCATGCATTGTCTCAACCAAATAGACGGGTATGGTACGATGTGGAATTGGGGTCCGATCTGATGTCTCGGACTCTCGGATTATAAATACAGGAGCCCCACAGGGCTGTGTTCTTTCTCCCCTGCTCTTCTCCCTGTACACCAACCACTGCACCTCCAGCCACGACTCCGTGAAGCTGATCAAGTTCGCGGACGACACCACCCTCATTGGACTCATCTCCAACAACGATGAGTCCGCCTACAGGAGGGAGGTGGACCGGCTGGTGTCCTGGTGCAGTGGTAACAACCTGGAGCTGAACGCCCAGAAGACAGTGGAGATGATTGTGGACTTCAGGAAGAGCACTGTCCCCCCGCCCCCACCCTCCGTGATGGACTCCCCCATCACCTCTGTGGAGTCCTTCCGTTTCCTGGGCACCACCATCACCCAGGACCTCAAGTGGGAGCCGACCATCAGCTCCCTCATCAAGAAGGCCCAGCAGAGGATGTACTTCCTGCGGCAGCTCAGGAAAGCCAAGCTGCCTGCACAGATGTTGGTGCAGTTCTACACGGCCATCATCGAGTCCATCCTCACCTCCTCCATCACCGTGTGGTTCGCTGGAGCCACAGTCAGGGACAAACAGAGACTACAGCGCATTGTGCGCTCTGCAGAGGAAGTGATCGGCCGCAGCCTTCCATCGCTGCAGGACCTGTACGTCGCCCGAGCTCGAGGCCGGGCTGGTCGTATCACAGCCGACCCCTCTCACCCTGCACATGGACTATTCCAACCACTCCCCTCAGGCAGGAGGCTGCGGTCCATCAGGACTAGAACCTCCCGCCACAAGAACAGTTTCTTCCCCTCTGCTGTTGGACTCTTGAACACTTCTTAACCTGTCCCCCCGCCCTTTATAAAGTCACTTTACTGCCCATCATACGTCACTTTACTTCACTGTACTGCTGTCACCTTACATTGTGTGCACCATGTGCACTTGTATATTGTAAATAGTAACTGTAACTCTATTTTAAATTTAAATTTATTCTTTAGAAGTGTTTTTTATTCTTATTTTTATTATCTCTTTTTGACTGTTGCACTGAGCCAAAGCAATTTCCAAGTCTGTGACCTCCCGTTACTTACGTTGGCAATAAAAATTCGTGGCATAAAAATGATTCTGATTCTGATGTTTGCCTCCTCAACGATGTTATTTACAATAAGTGTCATTAGACTCACAGTGAGGTTAACACTGTCAAAACACTTGTCTATTGGCTTTGTTTTTCCCCATCAAGCTGTTGGGTAAGGTTATATTATCATTAACACCTACAGTTATATTCCAATTGCGGCCTATGGTGACAATATTTACTTTTAACATTTATCTGTGTGCACTTTTCTATAGATGCGTCCGTACAGTGCCTGCAGTGACTTGGCCACCTCGTATCCCAGAGAAATATCCACCTGCTTAGACTTAGTTTGTTCATCTGGTTGAGATGGATGATTGGTGAAATAATAGAAACAAGAAAAACAGGTATCCTGGATGAGACACCCGTAGGCTTAAATGTATTTCTGTTCCGACCTTTGGAAAGGCAGAGAATTGTTTGCACATGATGTCCAGCAGCAGTGGGGGGTATCAAAGGTGAGGCAGCGTGAGGCCCTTTTCTCCAGGGGGAATGCCCCGAAAAAGCTGCAAGTTTCCTACAGAGGGCTTATAACTCGGCCACATGTAACCCACACAGTGTTGGTGTCTAATGCGCATACAATCAACAGTCAAACATACACAAAGATGATCGACCAAATTGGAGGCCAGGGAGGTTATGCTGAGCCGTTGTGAGTGTCCTAGTTTTAATCAAAGGGTGATGTAAATGTGATTGTGGTGGGATCATATACACATGACCCAAAAGCTCAGGACAATGCTCCCTGTGTGGCCTGAACAGAATAATTTACACATCAAGACAATAATTGATTTCTTTCTCATGTCAACTGCTACTGTACTTTTTTATAATGGTTAAGCTAATGGAGGGACCCGGGGTCTGGATGGACTAGAAGTATCACTATTGATTTAGTTAAATGGGCTCATAAAGGTAGTAACTGGAACCTATAGAACTACCCAAGCCCCGCCAACTTCACGGTCCGTCCAGTTACCGCTGGATAATCTTCATTCATTTTTCATGACGGAAAGATAAATGTGTCAACTACTATTTCAGTGTAGGTAGTTATTAACCCCATTAGCCACATTTGATACACAACCATTCTGCAAAAAATGGGTTTCAATAAAAAATGTAGGTCTTGTGGTTATCTATTCACATTAATTGGTCGTCTTTTCTTCTTTTAAATATTCCTTTTTTAACCCCTCTGTTACGCAGGTATCACGCTGTGATTTAGGTGACAGACCCTATATAGAATATATCGGTCCTCCTCAACATAACTCACTTTGTTCAGAAAACCTACCAAAAAAAATCAAAACTTTCTTCCAATTAAAGTATTAAGAGAATGCGTGATATTCATATTGGTTTGATGTTTTCACTGCTTTTGACAAATGCACGCAGTGCTAGATCTCAGGTTTGATTATCTCCGTGACCCGCAACTTCAGATGTTGTGAGGTCCAAGGTGGTTAGAAAAGTGTATGAAGAAACCTGTATATGGTTTGATGGTACCACATGGCGTGGCTGTCTGTGACCCTGCATCAACTAAGTCATGCATTGGTTGGTAATCAAGGTCAGGAGACAATGAGCATTTATATTTATATTTATGTCATTTACAGGTATTTGTGTTGTGTATATCTTCTGACGGACTGAACTTGTTCCTCCTTGTTATTTTATTACTGTTTTTTGTGTTTGTTGTTTTTTGTGTTTGTTGTTTTTGTGTCTTTGTTTCTTTTTTTTCTTTTATGTTTGTGTATGTTTCTGTATATTGGCTATGGTATATTGTCTACTTATTTTTGAAAAATTATAAAAATAAAGTAAAAAAAAAAAAAAAAAAAAAAGGGTTAATGCCCTCCTTGCCCAGTCCGTGAGTTTTGATGGGCGGCCGTCTCTTGGCAGTAGGGGTGTGACGATATATACTTTCTCCCGCGATTCGATTATCAATATGCATTTGCCAAGTATCGATATTGATTTTTTTTGTTTTTTTCAATATATATATTTTTTCTTAAAAATAAAAAACAATAGTATCAATACTTAAAGCTGCACTAACTGACTTTATTTTTGTATTCATTACGAAAATGCTATCCATGTCCATGTAGTGCATTGGAATATACGTCCTTTTGAGGAAAAAGTAGCGCAGATTTGTGCTGGCGTGACATTATATTTTAGATCGAGATTTTGTGTTTCGGGTCGCGGATTGTGACCAATCACAGCGGACCACTGGCCCCCACTTTCGTGAGAAATTTGCAGGTTCGTTAGCATAGACAGCTGAGTTAGCACAACAAGCCGAGGAGCTAACCTGAAGCTTCGTGTGTCTTTGTCACCGGTCTATAATTTGAACAGCTCTAACCCAAGAGGTGTTTGCATGGATGATGCTAAAATCAGCACCGGTTTTATTGAGAACCAAAGCTCAAAAGAGAATAGTGGGGCTTTTAAGAAGAAATGTTCTGCATTATTTTTGACCGTTGAGAAAATTAGAAACTATTTAATTACTCATTTCCTTTTTAGAATGCAATAACTTCATTACAAAATATATGGTGAAAGGGTTGTGAGTGGTTACCACTAGTCAATCAATCAAATTTTATTTATAAAGCGCTTTTCATACAAAAATCCAACATAAAGTGCTTTTCAGTTTAGTTCAAAACAATCCAATATGCCCAGCCCTAAACCCCACCGCCCCACAGACCAATGTTTCCTCTAATTTTTCATGTGTCAGAGCAAGAGATCTCTGTTGAAAACCATTCACATTTGGATACACCTCCTGTATACACCTGCTGATCCCATTTATTTAAGTTACTCCAGCTTCAAACAAGTTAAGGCAAATGATTCGATTCAATATTCAGTCTTTCAGAAAGAGTCTTTCATAGATGGTGAATTAAAGTAGATTGAGGAATATATATTGGTGAATTGCACACAAAACACAAAATATTCAAAGAGGATTTTGTCTATTCATATTTAATATAGTCCTTTTGGAGTATATTAATACATAGTATACATGGTTTTATTTAGTCATATGGCATTATAAAATAAACCCCATCCATCCATCCATTTTCTTCCCCTTAATCCATTTCTGGGTCAGAGCACCAGCCCCTCACTGATCCTCCTGCAGGAGCTGAGATCTTTCAGTGGGAGCTTCAGGCAAAGTGGGGTTAAGTGTCTTGCCTAAGGACACAACGACAGCAGTCATCAGTGGGAGTCGTGAAGTAGGTCTTACGGTGGGCTCGAACCCACAACCTTCAGGCTCAAAGGCCAATGCTCTACCAACTGAGCTACTCATAGACCAATAATGAACTAAGATAATAATAGTCATATTGCCACAAAACCAACTTTACTCAGCAATAGGCAACTTTGTGCTAAACCTGGTCGGACCAGACCTTGCCTTCCCTATATGTGAGCGTGCACACACTGCAGCTGGCGTAGTGCTCGTGAGACACTGCTCGCAAGTCCGCGGCAAGACCGAGTGCGCAAGTTCACCGTGTGCAGGGTGCTGTTGGTCCGAGCCCTGTTCATTATCAAACGCAGCTTCAGACTTCGGTGTCAGGCGCTTTTTCTGTTTAGAGAATGAAGCCTGCGTAGATCCACCGTGGTCCACACACTGTCCACCGAAAACCTGGGGATACTAAAACAATACAATAAAAAGTAAAACATGAACATGTGAGACTAAAAATAAAATGCCAGCTACCTACTATTAATAATAACAATAGTAAATAGCAAAATTGATAAAAATAAATAAGATAAAAACCAAAATAAAATGTGTCTAAAAACATGGATAAATTCACTAAAACTCAATAATAAATAATAAATGCTAATCAAAAGCTAATCTAAAAAGGTGTGTCTTGAGCCTGCCTTTAAAAATATGAATGTTCTCTGCGGCCCTGAGCTCCTCCGGCAGACTGTTCCAGAGACGGGGGCTGTAGTGCTGGAAAGATACCTCACCGTGAGTCTGTGTCCTGACCTTTGGAATGGTTAGGAGTCTGCTGCCGGAGGAGCGCAGGGGCCGGGAAGGTTCATTGGATAATAGCATTTCTGAAAGATAACAAGTCCCAAGACCATTAAGACATTTAAAAAGGGTGGAGTAGAATCATTTTTTTTGTTTTTGAGTTTTAAAATGATCAGCTATAAACACACACATGTGATTGTAAAGAACGTAATTTAATTGTAGAAATGACCTAAACTAATGTATGTGCAGAAACCTGAACTAAGTGGGGAGTCATAGTGGCTAACATCATAATATTACAGACTCAGACAAGCTTTTAGACAGAAAGAATATGTTTGCGGCAGTTGTTCCAAATAGTAGCGTGAATGGGTCTAAAAACAACTTCTGGTCTGCGACAGATGGGGAACAATGTTGTAACATGGAGAAAAAGTTGATTTTGCATTATTTGTCTGCTTTAAGTAAAGCGTGTGGAGCCTTTGTACTGATTTCCCGAATGAAACCACCTTTTTCAGTAAACTGCAGCGTGAGCTGAGGGTCACAAACCTGGAGGAGTTGAAGAAGACTGTGCAGACCTACTCTGAGGAGGTGAGAGCGCTCCCTTTGTTCTACCATATTCAGAGTGAGAAGTCCATTCTAACATCCTATCGTGCTGGTCTGTTTTAGATTCAAAAACTCAAAATGCTCCTGGAGGCTGCAGAGAAAAGGTATGCTCTTCTAAGTAGCAGGAAAGTTAAAAATCAAAGTGTAACGGTAAATGTAATAGAATGTAAAGAGGAACTTCTGCTCCAGTAGACTTATTAAACTTATACTTCTTAATGCTTAATTAAGACCTGATTATTATACTTCTTAATGCTTAATTATGCTTTAGATAGATAGATAGATGGGTAGCTATTGATCCCCTTAGAACACATGTGTCAAAGTCAAGGCCCGCGGGCCAAATCCGGCCCGCGAATGAATTATCTATGGCCCCCGGGACATTGCCTGCCATTGAGGCAATGTATTGACCCCTTAAGCTCGCTAGCACCCGCCGGCGGGAGCAAACGAGGAAAAAAATACTTCTGCTGGCAATAGCAGATGTATTTTGAACTTCATAAGCCACAAGCTATATATCATTTTAAAGCTTATTTTCTCAGCTATATTTATATGTAAGTGTAAACGATATCAGACTTTGCATTAAAAAGATATAACGCATAATATGGGCACAAAATAAATCGGTCTGTATTTGTTTTTTACCTTTCGTCTTCTGCTGCTCCAACAAATTAGACTTTCCCCATCCTTGCTTAGTCGCTTTCTCTTCGTAACTGTTCATTGAAGAAGAATATCCACTTGTATTTCCCAGAGTATAATCCATTCTTCAGATTTTATCAAAAAACGCCCCGAAGAGGTCCAGACTGCTCTTTTACATTTCACCAAGTTTGAGCTTTTTCTTTTTTTACTATTTTCATGTTCTCAGATGTCTATTACATCTAATATGTACAGTATGAGGATTGGCTTTGGAGCATATTTTATCGAGCCAACAGGTGTCACCGGCACTGCCTCTGCATGTTGAGAAACATTGAACCAGTCCGGCCCTCGGCGCGTAGCAAAACATTTTTTTTGGCCCTCTGATGTATTTGACTTTGACATGCCTGCCTTAGAAGAAATTCAGGTGTCCAGTAGCAGCAGAAACACATGCGTCCTTACAAACAAAACAAATAAATAGATAATTCTAAAAAAAGCTAACAATAGTATTAAAATGCAACAGCACTTAAGGTCACAGCAGCAGAGGTGGTGTAGCTGCTGGGTGGAGCAGGACGGGTCACAGCAGCAGAGGTGGTGTAGCTGCTGGGTGGAGCAGGACGGGTCACAGCAGCAGAGGTGGTGTAGCCGCTGGGTGGAGCAGGACACGTCACAGCAGCAGTAGTAAATGCTTTGTCAGCATTTTTCGAAATGGATTTTTGCCCGATCCACTTGTTTTGGACCATGAATCCTCTCCACTCCCCTCCAAACTAGTGCAAAACCATGTACTGCGGCAGCAACATAACGATTGTAAAGCACATAACATATTTTTCAGAGCTACTTAGAACTTGCTGCCATTTCCATGTGCACTCAAAAGTAAATGCTTAACGCTAAAAAAAGCTACGGATAATGAGTCTTAACTCATTGACAGCCATGAACGTAATAATACAGCAAATGAAAATACATAGTTTTTAACTCTTGTCCTCTCCATCTGTGTCGCCTGTATCATATATGTCTGGGGTTTGGCTGTAGACAGTGTTTTATTGAGCCAGTAGGTGGCAGCAGAACTCTGTGGGGTCAAAGATCACTGTCTGAGCACTCCGAGTAGGAGAGACTGAGGAGAAGCAGGATTGGGGGAATATAGTCAAGGACAGGCTACATTTGGAGGCGGTTTGAGCAGTAAATGTGTCTCTCAAGCTGATAGGGAGCATGCGGAGTTTCAGAGCAGCAGACTAGCAGTGAACCCCAAAAAAGCCACAGAAAAGTGGACTATCACTAAAACTATCCCTGAGCCCGCACCAGGAGCCAGCTGCAAAGTCCGGTTATTGTCACAGCGCTCGCTGGACAAAACAGAACGACACTCTGTAGATGTAACCACACACACAAACCCACGCATAAACACACATACATGCGCACACAAAGACACACAGCAGTATTCTATTGCACTTGTAGTATGTATATAGTCTGTTCACTTTGATTTATTGTTGTATATAGTGTTTATCATTGTAATTTTGCTTATCTCTGATTTACTCTTATTGACATATATATAGCGCCACCTAATGGATGTATACTGGCCATTCTTTCTGGCATAGTTTGTCATGGGCTTTACTTTCCATATGTTAATGTTGATGTGTTTTGGATTACTTTTTGAAATATTCGAGCAACACTTTGTGGATTTGGGTGTGTGTGCCATAAAACATATTATTTTGCATCAAAACATGTTTGAGGAGACGCTTAAGTTTAACTAAATAATGTTACAATCACTTATCTGCAGGTTTGTCTGTTTTCACAAACACCTCATTTTCTCAGCTTTTTGTCTAAGACTGGTGCTTTCTGTCACACTCCCCTCTTTTCGACTGGAGATTACAGGATAATGAAACAAGCTAGAAACAAACTTCTTTTTGCTGCTGCTCACATTTCTCATAATAATGGCACACAATATTCGGTCATCAAAAATGGCAGGCAGTCAATGAGTTAATATAAGTTTTTTACATTTTATTTACAGAAAAGAGGGCCAAATCACAGTGTAGAGGCACTTGATGCTCAGAAAGCGCTGCCAACCATCCTGAATATATTATATGTATTAGAAGGAGAATTTAAAATACCAGGGAAGAAGATCCATTTTCTACCCTTTAATCCATTTCTGGGTCAGGGGGGTGGCAATCAGAGATGCCACCCAAGTCTCTTAGCACCAGCCCCTCACTGATCCTCTGCAGGTGGTGAGTCCACAGGAGGACGGCTGCTCTCTGAGTGTGAGCATAGCCTTTATCTTTCAATGGGGGCTTTGGGCAAAGTGGGGTTAAGTGTCTTGCCCAAGGACACAACGACAGCAGTCATCAGTGGGAGTCGGTGGAGAAGGTGCAGAGGTGGGAATTGAACCCACGACCTTCTGGCCTTAAGGCCAATGCTCTACCAACTGAGCTACTGTCGCCCCAGGAAGAAGCATTTAACTAGGTAAAATCAAAACTAATCATATCTAATCTGTAAATAAATGCTATTATTTGAAATAAAACATGCGCTCAATGCATGTTTTATAGACATCTTTGGCAGTCTCTTTTTATGTGGTGGAAATCTGACTTCTACGGAATGAAAAATTGAAGTTCAATAAATATTCCAGAATATGTTGACAATGTGTTGTTTGTGTGAAAACAGCATTTCTATTCTAGTTTTTGTTTAGGGAAAAACATTATTGTGTGTTTGTGTTGTGTGTGCACAGCTGTCGAGCAGAGAGTAAATGCTCGCAGCGCCAGCAAAGGGCACTCCACTCCACAGTGACTTGTCTGACAGAAACAGTGAAGCAGCTCCAAGAAGAGAACGGCTCCCTGAGAATGGAGTTAAGCACAGAGGCCCCCCATGCTGGGCTCCAAGGTAAGGACACCTCACACACCCTCAACAAGCTCATACTGTCATGAATGTAACTGTACTCTTACTACAGTCTGACAGTGTTACACTTACTACAATCGGATGATGTAAAAGTACTCTTTTATTTATTTTTATTTTTTCAAACTTTGTTTATTAGTTTTCCATGATAAAATACAAATTGTAAACATTAGTACAGACAGAAAATTGCACTTGAAAGAGAGCTTAAAGAAACAAACAAAAATTAAATAAAAATGCAAAAATTCCCCCCCTCCCAGGCTCGAAATAATAAATAAAAATAAAAACAAAATAAATCAAAAGTTACATTTATGTCAATGAATCAAGTAAATAGGGGAATCATTCTTACAAACAATACTTTAAACCTCAAAAGAACATGTTTTCACATAATCCACAAAAGGGTTACAGGTCACAGAAAAATGTTGTTGAGACTGTAACACTTTATAACGTAACTTCTCTAATGGAAGAAAGTAAAATACCTCCTTCAGCCATTGTGTAAATGATGGGGCTTTGTCAGATTTCCACTGAAATAAAGTGAGCCTGCGAGCAAGTAAAGTTGCAATTGCATCTTTCTGGTGTCTATTACCCTTTTGTTGTGGTGTTGGTATACCAAAAATAGCAGTACGAAAGTCTGGAACGAAGTCTTCCCCACAAATGCGTGACAGTACCTGAAATATGTTTCCCCAGTAACTATCCAGGGCTGGGCAAGACCACAGCATATGTCCTTCAGTGGCTGGAGCATGACTGCATCTGGGACATGAAGGGTCCACTCCCGGAAAAATCTTGGCTAATCTCTCTCTTGTATAATTAAGTCGGTGGAGTACCTTGAATAGTATCAAGCCATGTCGTACTGTATACAGAGAGAGGAGGTGTGTATGCGTGTCAGACACGATCACTCCTCATCTGATAAAGTAGACTCAACATCTCTCTCCCAAGCATTTTTAGTCTTTTCCCAATTAACAGGTTTTATGTTTTGGATTAATTTATAGAGAGCAGAAACACGTTTCTTACCAAGTGGATCTATGTCTAGAATTTCATCCATTGGGCTTTTGGGTTATAGGTAAGGAAAAGAAGGAAATAGTGTCTTTGAAAAGCTACGTATTTGTAGTTATCTGAATAAGTGGGTGGCTGGTATGTCATTATCTCTAGTTAAAGCTTCAAATGATTTGAATGTTTCATTTGAAAAAGTTTGTGAAAGAACTTCAAGCCTTTGTTGTGCCAGCCTTGAAATGCCTTATCTGTCACAGATGGCACAAAGAAAGGGTTAGACGATATGGGAAAATGCTTGTCCACCTGCCGGAGAAAGAAGTAAAAGTACTCTTACTAAAGTTTGACAGTGTTACTCTTACTACTGTCTGACAGGGTAACAGTACTCTTTTGTATGTCTTGTATGTTTTTTTTTCACTACATTGGCCATAGAGGTAATCTGTACATTCCACACCACAATGTATGTTTTCACTACCAAGTAAATGAAAACATACATTGTCCTTGAAAGTTGACAAGCAGACAGAAAATGGTTTTTGATTCGTGTTTGTGTGTGAAGCCATTACTTCTTGATTCTTTCCCACCTCCAGACAGGGCTTTTCTGTTTGTAGTTTGCACTAAATTAATCCACAATAGGGCAGTGCTTGTTTGTGAGTGTGACTGTGGGACTACCAAGCCCCGTGATCCAAGATGGCGCCCTATTCAAATGAATGGCTTGTGCTCAGTAGCGCATACACGTGGACCGGGGACATACCCGGGGACCAAAAGATTAGAGGAACTCGCCTATATTTAGGCAACGTCTGTGCAGTGGACGAGCTCCAATGATGTGTTGCGCATCATGGGAGCGCAACACATCATATATGAGTAGTTTGTAGTAAGTGTGGATAAGGTTCTTTATCCTCTCATATGGTGAAAAGCCTTCAGTTCATCTCTTTTCTTGGGCTGCCTTGCCTGAACTGCATGTTTTAAATCTCCCCAGAGTGGCTCAATTATGTTATCATTTCAAAATAGAACCCACCATCTCTAACAATTAATGAAATAAGTTCTTATCATGTTTCATAAATTATAAAAGATAACAATCAATAACATTCTGTTTTTGCAGTACCGTTCAAGCACGGTACCGGTCAAATACAACTGTAGGATTTTTGTGGGTTTTTTGAGGATTTTCCAAATGATCTTGTCTCTGTGTTAAACGGATTAGGGGGTTTGGATGTTTATAAGCGTCTGCTTCATCCAGGCCCCTTTTCAAACCATGTGTTGTTTATTGTGGACTGTAAAATTGGATATGTGTAATAATTTGAGTGATTAGTATTATGTTATTAGAGACGTGTTTTTTTGACATGGTGACACTTAAGTTTGTATGTGCAGGTTACAGAAAGTGGAGTAAACGGCGTCTGCTGAGGAGACTGCTGGACCTGGAGCTTGTGAGTTCACCTCTGCCTCCTCTTTTCCTTTATACATTCAAATAAAACTGTCTCTCTTGCCCAATCAGCAGCCAGAACACAAAGCTAGGCCCACCCTCCTCCCAAAGGAACTAGTGCTATTGGACCAGGAGACGCAAACACTTACCATGGCAACAGAAGCAGGGACCGCTGTGGAAACCATGGCCGAGCCAGCTGAGCAGGAGCTAAAACAGCGTCTCAGCCAATGGGAAGATCACAGGGCGGAGTTACACGAGAGGCTCAAGAGGACTGAGTGAGTGGCCTGCATTTCAGTTCATTTGAGGCTGCGATTTGGGAAGTTGCAAAAGACAGACTGAGGACAGTCAGAAGTGGAAACATGACAGTTTTTTTGGGTCAGTGTCTTTGCTGGTTTACTGAAATGTCTCCACTTTGAGACTAATAAAGGTTTATCTTATCTTAACAAACAAAAAAACTGTGGCCTCCTGATATGGACGAACTTTTAATGTTTTACAGAGCTGATGTTGGCCGAAAGACACATATTTACAATATCACACATTTTTCACACTATCAAATCTTTCTAAAGCTTTCCAATGAAGTATAGCATGCCCATAATGTCATAACTGAAATTGACACTGTGAACTTCATGATCTCAAAGAATAATGTGTTGGCAGAGGGAAACTAAAAATGACAGAGGGTCGCATTTGACCCACAGGTCTTAGTTTGGACAGGACCGATCACTTTTGTGGACTCTTTGTGTGTTTTGGTCTCTCATTACAAGTCCACGGTGGCCCTGTAGTTTGGGCCTCTCATTACAAGTTACTAATTATTTACATGTTATTTGGTAAATATTTGCTATAGCTACTCCCTGTCTCGAGGATGTCCAACTGTTGGGTTTGCACACTTCCCCTTTCACAGATGAGGAACATTACGTTGAAAATCAGGTCGACTGCTTTATTGAATAAAATGTACAGAATTATGAGGTGGAAGTTACAGTTTTCACTTCTTTTTCATGCAAGTGTTGTGTTTTCAGAGAGGAGCTGGAGCAGGCAAAGAAACGTGAGAAGGAGCTGGAGGATTGGAAGAGTGCACAAAGCAGTAAATGGGACATAGAACGGCAGCAGCACAAGTACTGACTTCACAGATTTACAGATTTGTATGCACTCCAAATAGCTGGGTGATATAATCCCGAATAATATAATTCGCGATGATACTGATAAAATTTTTGAGGGACGGTATGAAACTGAAATACTATGTTATCCCGGGTGTGTGGTCTAGCTCTGACATCCATAGTCCTTTCATACAAGTTATGTCAGCATGGTATGGAGGATTTGATATACATATTCTGGCTCAGACAGGAGCTGAAGGTACTATGGACAAAGCTGCAAATGCTGGAGGATGAGAGGGAACTGGCTGCCCTGACCTCCTCCCCCCTAAACAATGCAGGGGACATTCACAGAGAGAACCGGCCTGGCAGAGAGGCCCAGAGGAGGGACCAGGCAGCGCGGCTCATCCAGAGTATCTGGAGGACACACAGAGGAAAGGTATTCAGAAGACTTTATTATTCAGTTCTTCTAAATGTTCTACAATTTGGCGTTAAACTTATTCATCTAGAGCCATCTGACTTCACAACAAGGTTTTAAGGCGGAGTTTAGGCCGATTTCAGCCCTCACGAAAGCGCACAAAACTTTAAATACGTTTTGTGTATTTAAAGTATTTCAATGTATAGAACAAATAATAATAACTAGCAACCAGGAAAACATTGCAATAAACAAATACTGTATATGCAATGTAATAGGTGTCTGTGCAGCTAATAATTAAATTATTAATTAAGTTTTTCTAAATGTTGATGCTAAATGTAATGCTGGTTCCTTGAATTTGGCTGCAGTCCTGTTCTTTACAGAAATTGCAAGTGTACTCGGCGGATGTGAGACAGACAATCGTTTCAAATTCTCCTTAGGTCTGTGTCAGAATTTGAGATCACAAGTAGGCCTGTCACGATAAAACATTTTGCTGGACGATAAATTGTCTCAGAAATTATTGTGATAAACGATAATATTGTTGTTCTGTTTTCCAACAAATGTGACACACTGACTCACACACGTTCAGTGATTCACCACGGGCATTTGGTTTAAATCCGAAATGCTCCCACACTGCATTTTGTCTCGAATTCGTAACTAGCTTTCTCTCTGCCTAGTGTCTACCGGGATACTTCTCACCCGGCTCCTCAGCTGCCTCCCCAAACACTATGCGACTGACAAGTGACTGAAATAAGTCATTCACATCATCATGAAGAGAGAGAGGGGTAGAGAGAAAGACGAGGAAAACAAACAAGCATGCAAATGGCATTTATCGTAGCCAGAAAAATTACCAAGCTAATATGAATCATCATGTGATTAATTGATTTATTGAATATCGCGACAGGCCTAATCTGAAGAAAAAAAACTCCTATTGACTGTAGCCAGTCATCCAGCCAGATGAAAGAAGGCTTTGAAGCAGTAAATAATCAAGTTTTATGCTGATGGACATTTCAAACATAGCAATTTTACCTCCATGGTAACAAGCACAATGCACTTTCCGTACAAAAGTACAGATACGAGCAACATTGAGCGTATGCCGTGTATGTTTTTTTTTTTTATATATATATCAGGAACCTTCAACAGAAACTGTCAAACACATCTCGCCCTGCCCCTTCTGACTTAATTCAATTTATTCTTTTATAGCCTTAAATCACAGCAGTAGTACAATACAATACAATACAATTTATTCTTGTATAGCCCTAGGTCACAACAGAAGTCATCTCAGAGGACTTAACAAAACCATTGAAATCACCAACACAGGTCAGAGAATCAATAATTAAAACACATGAAGAATATAAAGCACACACAGAAGAAAATGTCCATACATGTTGTAGAATGCTAAAGTGTCCTGATCATCACCAATCCTTTCTGTTGGACACTAACTGTCCAACAAGACCCTCCTGCATTGACAAGGAAAAACTCTTAAAAAACCCAGTGGGAAAAAGTGAGAAACCTTGGAGAACTAGGGAAACCCACAGGGAGGGAGACCCATTTGAGAAAGGGATCCGCTTCTCCGGACGGACAGGCTAATGATCTAGGACCTAAGCTAGCTACAGAACGTGGACCAGTGGCCGCTGAACGTGGATAGGTCCGGTGCAGGACTGAAGCACTCCCAGGCGGGTCGGGCGGGGCAGTCCGCAGGTGTAGATAGAGGAGGCCAGGCTCAGAGGTCCCGTCATCGTACCATGTAACAGACAATGGGACAACGGGTGAATAGCAATGAACAAACTACAGTCAAAATCCTAAAAATGCTAAACCGATAAAGTAGGAAGGAGGAGAGGATAGTGCTCCAGTTACCATACTTCTCCCAGAAAACTGACTCCCTATGCAGCTTGACTGACAGTCTGAGGAGTTTAGCCTTCCCTGAGTCTTACCTTCCTAGCCATATGCTAAACTAAAGAGGACTGTTTTAAACCTAGCCTTGAATAAAGAGAGCGTATCTGAAAGGAGGTGAGACAACAGCAGCCACGGCTAGGCTAGTCTAGGTTACAGCACCAAGATTCATGGATTACACACCAGGTGTGCAAACCGATCCAGGCAAACCTAATTATATATTATATCATATACATCTTATATACCATACATACCATATATATCATATGTAATACACAACATAACATACAGCATAATATATAACATAATATACAACATAACACAATACATAACATAATACATATATTGTATAAAATATAACATAATATATAACATAATACAGCATATATATATAATATATACACCATATATATTACCTAATTATATGCTAAATTAAAGTAGAGTGCTTTAAGCCTGGCCTTGAATGTGGAGACTGTATCTGCTTCCTTAACATAAATGGGAAGTTGATTCCACAGTAAAGGAGCTTGGTAGCTAAATGCTCTGCCGCCAACAGTGATTTTTGCGACCTTAGGAACCACCAGACGTCTGGCGTTTTGTGAGCGCAATGCTCGACTTGGTTGATACGACACTTGGTTGGTAGTCCTCTCAGAGGACTTAACAGAACCTTTGGAATCGCCAAAACAGATCAGAGAATCAACAGTTACCCGTTTCTGCAAGGTTTGAATGTTTAGCACCGCCCCCCAACTCGCTCAGAGGCTTCTCATTTCCACTGCGCGGAGCCATCTAGTTGTATTTGCAATCTGATGCTAACATTAGCATTAGCGCACCTTAAGATGTAAAACAATCACTGATGAAATGGTACAAAAGCAACACACTGCTAACGAAATATATAAGTAAAAGAGTACCGCTAGATTCACGTCCAAATTTATTAATTTCAACATTAGAATATATTTGAATATTTAATTATAATTTATTATACAGCTCCACACAGCAGCAGTAGAACGTTTTGAAATTACATTCAATCCTTTTTTCTTGATAACAGAGCTCTCAAACCAATAAGGGCCGCTGCCCTTTGGCAACACAATCTCTGCTTGTAATTCAGGTGTGTAAAATACTAACATTACTCCGCAAACACAACGAGCTTTCAGTGCCTGTCACTACTTATTTGTGCAGAGAAGCTAGTGGAGCTAGCCGAGCTAGCCACTCTCAATAAACAAATACATATCAATCAATCAACACCATTAAATGTTAATCGGACAATACATTACACATCCTTAACACACATGAAACGAACATTTTAGGACAGATTTGAAACGGATCTGATTATGGATTTAGGTTCGGTATATAAATGGGTCACTCACTGCTGATGTTCAGAATTCTTTGTTCAGTTTTCATGTAGTTCCAGAGTTTTCGAACTAGCTAGCTTAGCTGTTACGTCACGTCACGGAAAAACCTTTGGGAGGTAACCATTTTATTTTCAGTCATTATATAAATTTCTAATATTAAGGGCTGTCTTATAATCGTCCGAATATATATATATATATATATATATATATATATATATATATATTTTTTTTGAATTCGAATTTCGAAGTAAAAGCCCTAGTGTTTACCAGCGCTGTAGAGACTAGAGGACGCAGGCTCGTTCTGTGAGTGGAGGAGAATAACCGGCCCGCTAAGTCTACGGATTATTATACAACTTGTATGTAGTAATAAGCATTTTTATGAACTCATTAGAAAAAAAAGTCGGGTATAGCTTCTTTAAGACACAAAAAATATAGAACACATAGGTATTGGTCCATAGGGAGAGACCAATGTCTATGAATGTTGTCTAATGTTAGAGTGTCCTGATCATCACCAGTCCTTCTTGTTAGACCATTAACAGTCTAACAGACCCTCCTGCATCGGCAAGAAAAACTCTTAAAACCCAGTGGTAGAAACGTGAGAAACCTCGGGGAGATCCACATTGAGAGAGGCTATAGATCTAGGACCTAACCTACAGAACGAGGACCAAGGCTACGCAGTGGTTGTAGAACGTGGAGGACTGAAGCAACTTCCAGGCGGGGTGCAGCCCACAAGGCGGGTCAGGCAGGGCCGTCCGCAGGTGCAGATGGAGGTTGCCAGGTTCAGAGATCCCGTTGTCAGGGACAACAGGTGAATAGCAATGAACAGACTACAGTCAAAATACTAATAATGCAGACAGATAAAGTAGGAAGGAGGAGAAGATAGTGCTCAAGTTACCATACTTCTCCATGCAAACTGACTCCATATGCAGCTTGACTGACAATCTAACATTTTTAGTCTTCCCTGAGTCTTACCAACCTAAATATGCTAAATTGAAGACTAGCCTTGAATGTAAAGACTGTGTCTGACTGAAGGAGAGACAGCAGCAGCCACGGCTAGGCTAGCCCAGGCTACAGCACCAAAGAAAGTGTTTAAGCCACAATATATAGTCAAAGGCACACAGTGTAGTTTTTGCTCCCATCTAGCGTTGAAATCATATATTGCAAGTCTACTTCTACCACTACAGAAGCCTCCGAGGAGCATATGCGGTTTTGACAGTGGTCCCCAACACCAGGTAATTCACTGGACCACTAATGACCGGCTCTCCACATACACTGCCGTGCCACAAATGTGCCTCGTGCGCGGAGGCGAACATGGAAACAAAGTCTGTGTTGTGAAGCGGCACACACTGCACAGAGGTGCTTTACCATGGATCTATTATAATATATAGTTATGCAAACGTGGTGTATTCGGGTCGTTCTTTTACATAAATGTGGTCCTCCATGGTTCTTTTACATAACTGTGGTCCTACGTGGTTCCTACTTCAAACTTGTGAGGGCACGCTGCCACCACTTCTGCGGTCTATGGGCAGCTTCAAAATGGCCGCGGGGGCTGGAAAATGTGGAAAAAACGCATCTGCACATGCGTTAGCCGGCACGAGCCCATTCATTTAACAAGTGCCTTCAAAAAATCACAGCAACTAAACTAGTCTAGTCCAAAAAAAATCACTCCCCTCAGCATTGACAAACATGTGGAACGGAGCTTTGGGCCAAGAGCCGACGTTTGGACCATCCTGTAAAGACGTTTTTGAGAGGTCAGCTAATGCTATATGTTAGCATTGAATAATTCTCATTCCAGGTCCACCCCCATCGGGCCGGGGTGGTATTGCAAACATGTCATTTTGGCCACTTTTGAGCCGGGACCCGCGCCCACTGGAGGGCACAGTGGAGGCAACATTATTAGGCCCGAGCCCCGAACGGGGTAAGGGCCTATTAGTCTATGTTTTCAACTTCTGCAGCTTTTTGTTCATAAAAGTAAAATATTTATTTAATTCAAGTTATTTTGATTAGCATTTATGGATATTACAATGTACATTGTGGTAAATAAATCTAAGGCAACCAAAGTGAGACTGGCATAATGTAAAAACGAATATTAGCCTTGTTAGCATGTTTTATGATATCAAGTAGAGTTAGCTAACTTGCCCAACACTAATTAGCTTGAATCTCACAAATAAGGCTAAAAGGTTAAAAGAGTTGCACACTATTATGTACAAAACGGCCGTTTCACCGATTTGCCTCAAAATTGCTCCACATCGTCTAAACACATGTACCATCATTTTGATTTCACACACTTTTGATCAGTAAAACGTTGTTTGAGCAGCGGAGCGCCAAAAAGCGGCGTATTTTTTTTCAGTTTTTGACAATAGAAAAATAGCTTCCGTTTGCACAAACAAAGTCTGATTTGCACAAAACTTGAATCCATGGTTCAACTCTAGGGTCTAGGTCATTTGAAAGTAAAAATTTTGAAATTGGCTCTATAGCGCCACCTACAACAGCCAATTTAAAAACGCCTATGGGAGGGGTTTGAGGTCAAAATTGTCGTAGAACCATGTAATTTGGTACACATGTTCCTCAAGTCAAGACATGGAAAAAATGTTATTATGGCTAAGCCCTCTGACAAACAGGAAGCCCATAAATTTCATTGCAAAATGGAAAAATGAAAACCAATCATTTTCATACATGTCGCTTGGAAAGCAACTCCTCCTCGGCCGTTTCACCGATTGGCCTCAAAATTGCTCCAAATGATCTCAAAACGTGAGGTTTTTTTTGGCCGTTTTTGACAACATACATTTTTTTCCCGTTTGCACATACAAAGTCTGATTTGCATTAAACATGAATCCATTGTTCAACTCCAGGGTTTAGGTCAGGTGAAAGTGAAATATTTGAAATGGCCCATTAGCGCCCCCTACAGACTGAAGGAAAGTTTACATGGGGAGCCAAACCAGCTCTACTTATCATATTCATTACAATTTGACTAACAATCTTCTATGACTACGGGAACAAATCATCACACGGCGGCCCCACCTCCTTTGCGCGGTGCTGCGTGGAACGGTGTTGGTGCGGCGTAGTGTGGGGCGTAGTGTGGGGCGTTGTGGAGTGGCGCGTTGCGGCTTGGCGGCATGATGCGGGGGCGGCATGTCTTTTCGAGTCTCTCTCGAGCAAGGTCAGAAAGACAGATTCAGAGCCTGGAACATGGTTCTTAGCCCAGCACCTAGTTTTGCATGCCTGTCTATTATCAGAGCAAACTGGTGGGTTCTGCATGGAGTATGCCAACTTTTAAAATTACGTTTTTATATAATAAGCCTCCACTGGAGAGTGGCTGGGCCATAAGGGAGAAACTCTAGGTAGAACTTCTGCTCTAACAGGCCTATGTTTTCCCCCCAGCTTTCGCAGCATTTCTACCTTTTGTCATTATGTATGAGCATTATTTCAGTCCTCTGATTCCGTTTTTCATATTCAATGTATTAATATAAGATCACATTGGCCACTAGATGTGATCTTTACATACTTGCACGTGATTATTAATAGTTAAAATTCTCAAGATTGTGATTAGGGGTTTCTTCTTTAGGATATCAATTAATGAACAATATATGAAACAATTTTGAAATAGAGGTAGCTGTTGATGTGTTCTATGTACGTTTAGTCCTGTCAGAATGATTATATAAAGACACTGGCCTAGATTTGCCTCTCTGCTTTTGTCCTCTTTTCTCATCTCTTCTCCTCCTCCTCAGGGCGTGGTGTTGTTGCAGTCTGCTCTTCGGGGCCATCTCCACAGACAAACACAGCTTAAGGTGAGACAGACAAAAATCTCCCTGCCCAGTTAGGTGTAATACTTATTATAGGAGAATGTTTTTCTGTGATCACTGTATAGGAGATAGAATCCGAACCCTCATGTCTGTGTGTCGAAAAGAGCAAAAAGCAAAACAAGTTAGAGCTAACGCTACCACACTCAATAGAAACTTTGTTAAGTCAACACCAAGCCAATCTGAAATGGTTCAGTTATTTTGGGTTATTATGGATCTGAAATACTAAAATATTAGTATCAGTACAGTATTGAAGCTTGATCCTAACTTGAGTAGTACAAATCCATCCATCCATCCATGTTCTTCCCCTTTATCTATTTCTGTTTCGGGGGGGGGGGGGGGTGGTGGCAGTCAGAGCTGCACCCAGTCCACAGAACACCAGCCCCTCACTGATCCTGGGCTTCAGGCAAAGTGGGGTTAAGTGTCTTGCCCAAGGACACAACGACAGCAGTCAACAGAGGGAGTCGCGAAGTAGGTCTCATGGTGGGCTCGAACCCACGACCTTCAGGCTCTAAGGCAGCGGTGCCCAAAGTAGGGCCCGCAGGCCAAAGTTGGCCCGCCAGACCATTTCAGTTGGCTCGCCAACCTCCGCTATAAGTTTCTATCTGCGTCCCTCAGCCTCGCTGAACAAACAGTGACATGTCTGAGGACGCACGGGCACAAAGTCGCCCTCTGAACTCCGACTGTCCAGTACTTAACTGTTGTATCGAGATACACTCCTCACTCATGGTTCACATCAACTTGCACTAAAAAATTTTTTTAAATCAAACACATCTTTCAAAACAATTGGGTGCAAGGCCCCTTTACGTTCTTTTTTTTCAGCCTACTTTTATTATTTTTTGGAGCTATTTAATGTTTTATCAAATTGAGAGGATTGTGCTGCCGAACTGCCACTCCCCCTCCTCACCGGAGGGAAATGGCGAGTGGAACTATTCACCTGCGCAATCCGCACCCACCCGGTGTGTTAAAAAGGACGGACACAAACACTTCAGAGTGAGTTCAAGCAGGACAAGCAGGGATTGCAGCGCACGATCCACGCAAGTAGAAGCAACAAATACTGTGCAAAACAAACCCTTCTACAACCCCATGAAAGAAGCTGGTAAGCGCCGTCCTCACTCGCGATCATTGAATGTCAGACAGAACTTACGCGGAGTTTTATGATGCGTTCAAGAGCCCTTTGGAGGAGCGGAAACTCGGACTCTCGGACAGTTACTTTGTTTTGATTGTTTATAAATGTTGTACTGTGTTTAGGCAAAACAAAACAAAACTCCAGGAACAAATCACGGTTAACTAGTCTGATTTTGTTAGTTTAATATTCAGTTCACTACTAATTGAGAATACTTGTCCTATGTTAAAAATATTAAGTTAAAACAGAGTTAAAACCTGATCATGTTAAGAAAATGCAGTTAGCAATTATGTTCCCAAATTCATTACTTAATGTTAAAATGTATTGTTAAAGTGTGCTAAAACCAGATCTACTGATCTGTGATGTCTCCCCTTTTTGATAAAAGCTAAGATAAAGTAATATGATTCAAATGTAGTTAAAAACTTTTGTTCAAAATAAATATATGAAAATAGACTTGGAAATTGCTTTGGCTCAGTGCAACAGAGATAATAAAAATAAAGAATAAAAAACACTTCTAAGGAATAAATTTAAATTTAAAATAGAGTTACAGTTACTATTTACAATATACAAGTGCACATGGTGCACACAAAATGTATGTTTCTGTTCTCTTTTTGAGGTTTTATTATATGATTTTAACCTTTAAATAAGCCATGACAGAAAATCTCCCTCCTCTGGACCCTGATTACCCGGCCGGAATCTTTCCGTACTGTAGTCTCCTCAAACCTGCATATTTCCCTGGAGCCTCCACTTCACTAAGACTGTGTTGATTTCATTCATTCAGCTGTGATTTGCACTGCTAGACAATAATTAATGCATTTAAAAGAACTTGATCAAATCTACATTTATTTGTGTTTCATGCATAATATTGGTGTATTTGGCCCGCGGCCCACTGGCAAATTTTTACTTTGGCCCTTGGAAGCAAAAGGTTTGGGCACCCCTGCTCTAAGGCCTATGCTCTACCAACTGAGCCACTGTCGCCCCACTGACCCACTGTCGCTAATTAACACGTATTTTGATAATCAATTAGTATTCAATTATTCTTCTGATTATTCAGTTTGACCAAAACAAAGCTCAAGCAAAAGCAAAGAGTTTATTTATCTATTTTATTTATTGTTTATTTGGTTGGGACAGTTAATGAACACATCACTCCGGATTGTAGCCATGGGCGAATGTGCATCTGATGTCCCACATTCGCACTCACAAACACACACTCATTCAACTATTGCACATGTTTTTAGTGGTAGGGGAAACCAGAGTACCTGGAGGAAACTTACGCAGACACGGGGAGAACATGCAAACTCCACTCAGAAAGCCCCTGTTCCGACCAGGATTCGAACCCAGAACCTTCTTGCTGAGAGGCGAGAGTGCTATCCACTCAGCCACCGTGCCGCCCATTAGTCCACAGGAGCCTTGATCTTTCAGCGGGGGCTTCAGGCAAAGTGGGGTTAAGTGTCTTGCCCAAGAACACAACGACAGCAGACATCAGTGGAAGTCGTGAAATAGGCCTCGAACCCACAACCTTCAGGCTCAAAGGCAACACCAGTGTATTCACTTATTAATAAATAATTTAATAATAAATACAAGGGGCCGGGACTTTAACGCGTTAATTAAGATTAATTAATTACACAAAAATTAGCGTGTTAAAAAAAAATAAAAAATTCCACTGCAGAACAGACGTGGATGTCTCAAGTGCTCTCAATTTGGATCTAAAAACATTCAATGAAATAAGTTTAGATGATTTCCAGTCTTTTTGCAACACGTTCCATGTAGAAGGAGCAGCAAATACAAAAGCTTTTTTTCCCAGTTCTCTGCAAAAGGAACCGAGAGCAACAAAAGATAATTTGATCCAAACCATATTAACCAACATGTCTTTGTGTGAGTAAATGGCAGATGTAAGAGGGCAGCAGACCAAGCATTATAAACAAAGTGCACCCGTGTCCAAACCCTCTGGTGGACAAAGATCCCACTCCAGAATATCATTCACAGTGAGTCGAGGCTTTGCAGTTCATAATGAATTGAACATTTTAATTGAGTCATTATTTAAAGGGGACATATCATGAAAAATCCACTTTTTGGGCCTTAAATGCCTTATGTTGTGAAGTTGGAGCCTCTAGAAGTGCAAAAAAGTTGAAATCAGTCTCTTCATGGGTTGCAGAGAACACTTCATATTCTGTTTAGGTAAGATTTTTCAACCCGTTCTGATTTTGCCATTCTCTATTACGTGTTTAGAATTATTACGTCACAGTATTTGCAGCGAGACTGCTATATAAGGGCATGGGCGTCTAACAAAACACTTCGGCCCAGCCCTCCTCTACTGTGCATCACTTCGAATTTGTAGTCCAAGCTCAAGGATGCCAGCGAACAGGGCTGGACTGGCCATCGGGCGTACCGGGCAATGCCCAAAGGGCCGATGCCCATATTTGGGCCGGTCTGTCTGCCTCATACAAAACACATGTTTATGAGAAGTGTAAATCCGTTGAGAATTGTTCGAGCGGGGCGCGCATATCCGCGGGGCACCTGCTGTATGTACTTGAACGGGATTCCGCCACCTCAGCGGCCGCAGTGTTCCGGGGCATCTGCGGCCGCTTTGTAATGAGCAGCTTCCGCGTCCAGCGGCTGCGAGAGGCTGTGAGCGTCCAGCCGCTCGCAGCCGCTCCACCGTGTTGTGGCTGAGCGCGCAGCCTCAACGTGGCCATGTACCCAACCCAATAAACGCGCACAGGACCATGCGTGTCTTTGAGTAATCTGTGCACTCAATAAATACACTACTGCAGGAAGCAGTCCGCGTCTCCCCTCTCCTCTCGAAACGCGATTAAACGCCCTAAATAAAGCTCTGATACCTACATTTTGCATTGCATTAAAAGTTCATGTTTGAGTCCAAAAGTAATATGTTGTGAACAAATTAAACAGATTTAGAGCCAGCAAATGGCTGACAATATGCATTTCAGTCTTTTTTGACCAATTCTCATCCCTGTAACAAACAATAGTGTTGTCTGTGTCCACCTCCTTCACTCTGAGACATGTTTATTACTCTCTTGTAATGTAGACTATTGCATTTTATATTATTGTTGAAACTGCACATATCCTGATCCTCTACAGTTTTTCCTTCCACATACTGTATAAACTAGGAGTCGGCAACCTGCGGCTCCGGAGGCGCATGCGTCTCTTTCCTTCTGTAGAAGGAAAAACGTTCTTAACGTTTTTAAATGCTGTAAAATTGTGCATAAGTAATATTCAATTTAAATATTTTTGTCAACGTAGTGTGTCATATCCTGCGACGTAGGCCCGTGCCAGGCGGCCGCTGTTGTAAACAAACCGGCGTGTGAGCATCATAGACTGTGCGCATGGATCCCAAAGCTAAAAAGAGAAGAGTCGATAATAAGACTGGACTAAGAATGAAACTTAACATTTGCTTTCAGTCAATGAGGAAGACCTGCTTCATGTTTGCGATGTAATGAGAAGTTTCTATGAGATAATTGTATATGTGCTTAGAAACTACGAAAATGGCCGCTCGGGGTGGAGTTGAACCTGTGTCACCTGGATGGGGGGCTCATTTGCATTTAAAGAGACAGCACCAAAACAGGTTGCTCTCAGACGCACTCAGAACAGGTGTAGAAGAAAGGCCCGTAGAGCTACAAATAATGAGACTCAGACCCAGGCATTGCAGTTACGCTTTATATAGGCCACAAATTAATGATTTAGATGTAAAAATCAATTATTTCAAAACACGATATGTCCACTTTAAGTACAGTTTTTTTTCTTCCTATATTTAAGTCTTACTGTTGAAACTGTGTAAAATGTTACAATGGCTGACAATATTAAATATACTTCTTTAGGAATGAAAACTCTGCCTTGTTTTTGATGAATACTTGAGCCGCGTTCAGACCGGATCATGCGTTGCGTCGACTTTCAATGCAAAGTCAATGGTGACGCGCGTTCGGGCGTGGAACTGCATGTGCGTCTTGAGATGCACGCACGGACTGTGCGGCAAAGGCGCGGCAGAGGCGCAGGAGCGGAAAAATGGACGCACGCAGTAGATAAATATTGCTGAGCGTTTCCTCGGGACGCTCGTGCAGCGACCAATCAGAGAGCCGCAAAGTGGTCACGGGGACATTAGCATACTGTAAACGGCCAAAACAGGAGCTACTCCAGGACTAAAACCAGGGTTGACAATGGGGAACATAGTGCTTGTTAACATGTGAGTTTTCATGCTCCCATGACTTTATGCAACTGCTTCGAGTATGTTCACCGATGCGGAAGTACCATTTAATAATAAAATAAACGTATGGCGCACCTGTTATATAAAGTCTCTGGAAGGTCTCTGGACACAGACACGCTGCAGAGCTTCATTATTAGAGAAGAATTTTACACAAAAAGCCGCTCGCTTAACTCCGTTGCGGGCGCCACCACAGGCCAGGACTTCTGGTCTGAAGACCCCTGCATCTGAAAATTAGAGAATGTGCGTCTGGTGCGCGAGGCGTCAGCGTTTCAGCATTGGCGGTGTGAACGCACCATTAGGCTTACTACACTACTGTATAGTGTTGGTCATTTGTGGTCATACTTTGAGAGAATGTCATAAAAACGACCACTGTCAGTTTTTCCATGAATACATACAGTCAGTGTATTTTCTTGTCATAGGCAGCACACTCCTCAAACCACAGTGATGGGGACACGCTGGAACTGAACAATCTGGTCCTGGTTCAGTCCGTGTTTAGAGGACACCTGACGCGTTCTGCACAGACTCTGCACAGGTAACTCCTTCCGCTCGGGGCAGCTTCCACATGACAATCCCGGAACTCCATGTCACTAGTTCCTGGCTATCACTAGTTTTTACATATGTGTTTTTGGCCTCTGTTACATCTTTAGATCAGCTCTTTAGTCCATTGTGACTGATTTTCAATAAGCATTTTTGTGGTCTGATTTGTTCACAAAATGTTTAGGGTTAGGGTTAGGGTTTTACAAGACTCTTTCTGTTCACACAAACATAATTTGTTATTTATGCGAAAAAAGTGATGTAAATTTCCTACTTACCCTTTACCTTGTCAATAGGAAAATAATAAGTAATAGGTAGGAATGCAAGATCGATGCCATAGGCTTGTAATCGCACTAGTACTCATACCATAGGACCTGATTCCTGTAACCGATACACATTTTTTAATTGTTAGAATGTTAAAACAATTGCTAAAATGTTTCATTGTTCATTCTTATTGTTCAAATGAGAAATAAAATATTTTAGATTTCAATTGTATAACACAATGCACTCGGATCAGTATTCGCTATTGGCAAGTACTCAAATTAAGGTACTCGTATCGGTTTTTAAAAAAGTGTACTGGTGCATGTTTTTGCAAAATACATTCTTGACATTTCTAATGAAGACAGAGGCTCCTTGAATCTTGAATCTAGTGAAGATTACAAAACTGTTATTGTTGTCATAGTGAAATCCTCTGTTTCAGTTTGTCGTCAAGATTTGGAGGTCTGAATATGGCCAAACGTCAAGCCACTCCACGGCCAGCTGATACAGGTGAGAATAAACATCAGTGTTTTTCGACCTTTTTTGAGCCAAGGCACACTTTATTCTTTGAACAAATCTCGCGGCACACCACCAGGATATATATATCACAATATAAAGTCATTCTCATCAATGTACTTAAATCCAGGCCTTGTCATTAAGCTTTGTTTAATATTTCTCAATACAATAAGTTAAAAAGAGTTTGGGAATAAAGTGGCACTAACTGTCTGGAAAAAACACATTTTAAAAAATCCACTCTCAGCCCAAATAATCAAATAATGACTCACAGGGCCCTCAAGTATGCAAAATAATAATAAAAAAGGGCCCGTTGTGTGTTCTGTTTTTTTGTGCTCAAATGACATGCAATTTTAATGAATGGGGAAAATGTAGGTATCCGAGCTTTATATTCGAGAGTTTTGCTTGCACTACGAGATGAGAAACGGGAGGTTCATGGGGGAGACACGGGGGTCCTGAACGCGAGTCCATGGTTCTGTCCGGGCTTCTATGGTTCTGTCCAGGCGTCTATGGTTCTGTCCGCGCGTCTTTGGTTCTGTCCGCGCGTCTTTGGTTCTGTCCGCGTGTCTATGATTCTGTCCGTTCTATGGTTCTGTCCGTTCTATGATTCTGTCCGTTCTATGATTCTGTCCGTGCGTCTATGATTCTGTCCGTTTTATGGTTCTGTCCGTTCTATGGTTCTGTCCGTTCTATGGTTCTGTCCGTTCTATGATTCTGTCCGCCTGTCTATGGTTCTGTCCGTTCTATGATTCTGTCCGCGCGTCTATGGTTGTGTCCGTTCTATGATTCTGTCCGCGCGTCTATGATTCTGTCCGTTTTATGGTTCTGTCCGTTCATCTATGATTTTGTCCCCGCGTCTATGATTCTGTCCGTTCATCTCAGTGGGGGCGGGTCCCAGCTCAAAAGTGGCCAAAATGACGTGCGCTGACATGCTTGCAATACCACCCCGGGCCGATGGGGGTGGACCCAGAAGAAGAATTAGCCAATGCTAACATATAGCGTTGGCAGACCTCTCGAAAACGTCTTCACAGGATGGACCAAAAGTTGGCTCAAAGCTCCGTTCCACATGTGTGTCAATGCTGAGGGGGGTGAATGTTTTTGGTCCACTCTAGTTTACTTGCTGTGAATTTTTGAAGTCTCTCGTTCAAATGAATGGAGCTGCGCCGGCTGACGCATGCGCAGATGCGTTTTTTCACAATTTTCTTGTGGGCGGGACCACTCGCGGCCATTTTGGATTGCTCCAGTAGAGCAAATTTTTTGGCCCATTAGTTAGAACGGCGGAGATAGGCGTGACTCTGTCCATTAATATATACAGTCTATGGTTCATCTATGATTCTGTCCCCACGTCTATGGTTCTGTTCGTGCATCTATGACTCTGTCCGTTCTATGGTTCTGTCCGTTCATCTATGATTCTGTCAGGGTGTCTATGATTCTGTCTCCGCGTCTATGATTCTGTCCGTGCATCTTTGATTCTGTCCGCGTGTCTCAATCACTTTCACTTCTCACTCGCCACGCTCCCCGCTGCCTGTTACATTTTTTGTTCGCATCCAATTTTTATGTTTCTCGCCACGGTTGTATCCAATTTTTGCATTTCACAGTACTTAGCTATCTGCTGCCACCTACTTATGAAAAAGTATTACGTGGTTACTCCACAGTTCAAAACAAGTCAGCACTCACCAACGGTGGCATGCATTTATTTTTAGACAAAGTAGGGGTGAATTTCTCACTGCACACCAGACAATATCATACGGCACTCTAGTGTGCCGCGGCACAGTGGTTGAAAAACACTGAGATACATGATCTTTGAAAAAGACTGCTCTAACCTGCTTCTTTTGTGTGCTTCAGCTCAGTCAGTTCCCCCTTCACGAGCCAATCAGGACGAGGCAGCAGCGGTTCACTCTGACGATTCAGACGACATCATCATTGTCAATCCATCTCGTCCAATCAGGAGGAGGGAAGTCTTAATTGTGTAGGGCCAATCTGTCAATCGCCAGGCATAATTTTTATTGCATAATTTTTACTAGAGCTCTTTCACAATGAGCTGAGTCTGGTCTTTATGTACAAGGAGATGCTATTGTGCTGTCAGTAATGTCCCCCAGTATTTTGACTTGTCACCATTCTACACAAACACGAACACAAGCGCATTAGTTGCCATCTTTTATAAGGCAGGTTATTTATGATAAGAGCCTTCTCCCCTAAGTGCCTCATGCTGTACATTGATAGATCAATTTAAACATATTTGTAAATACTTTGTACTTTTTTATACTGTTGTGACTATTGTGCTTCTGAGCCACCCCAAATATTTTTATTGCTGCAAAACTTTGAGAGTGTATGTTGAGTATTGTTTATTAATGTTCTCGTAAAAAAGTTTACTCCGACTGGGATAAACTTCACACTGAGGCAAAATGACACGTTTGAGCCTGACCAACGCTCCTTATGATTTTCTGGGGAAGTATCCTGTATATCATTATAGTTTAACAAGATATTTGTTTTACAAGTGATGATGATTAGACTTGATTAGATATTGTGCAGTGCTAAAATTGTGAAGGATGCATTAAAAACTAAAAGGATGTGACTGCACTAACTCAAGGAAACCAGAGTGAGTGATTGCCGTTTCCTTCTGCACCGCTCTTTGTTTATGTAGACCATATAATTTATTCATTATAGTAGCTCGACATTCAAAGCCCTGTAATGAAGTCAGTGATTTTTCACATGACATTTAGTATTCTATACTGCGCTGTGTCCAATAAAGTGCTGTAAACTGCTTCTTCGCATCATTGATCTATTCTGATAGAACAAAATCTATAAAAGTTATGACAGTTTTACATGGACTTTCAATACAAAAGTGCATGTTCCGTGTCGTATATGTCTGAATGCCCTCTCTGGCTTTGTTTTTGGCTAATAATTTGGCGCCTGAAATATCAAAAAATTTACCGCTCCAATCACCACACTTCTATAAAAGAGCATACCTCCATTACTTGCATTCAGGCCTTGAAAAAGTAAGTAATTTCTACAATCAAGATCTTCTTTGCAAAGACAACTTCACCTTTTCAGATGTAACAGGTGTTACTCGCTGATCTTGCCCAGAGAACATGACCGTTCTTGTTTCCCCTGTCCCGTATAATTCCATTATTACATACATACAGTGTCTCTCAAAAGTAATGATACACCTTGAATTTTTGGACATTTTGCTGCAATAACGGCTATGTAAATGTAAATGTGCACTTCATTGTCCCCATAGGGAAATTTGTCCTCTGCATTTGACCATCCTGGGCGGCACGGTGGCTTCTCAGCAAGAAGGTCCTGGGTTCGAATCCCGGTCGGAACAGGGGCTCCACCCTTTTGAAGCCAACAGGGACATTTTCCCAGCTATTCTTACAATCTTATTCACTGCTGAAGAAAAGCAGCCCCATAGCAAGATGCTCCCCTCACCCTATTTGACACTGTAAATCTGAAGGTGCTGAAAACACATGCATAGTCATACCAGCATAAAATTCTGCATGGTGGCTCCTGATACATGGAGGAAACTAGGGTAAAAAAAGATTTTGGAGTTTGCTTCATATGAATTTAACATGTTTTAGAAAACATGTAAAGAAGCTAGTACTGCTGACAGATCTAACAGATCCGTCAGACTGGCACAAGCGCTGACCACTGTGCCACCTTGATATTATGGCTATAATCTCACAAGTTTTAAGTGTTGTGTGGCAAGCTGGACTTGGCCATTAGAATTCTGTCCAGTAGAGGGCGCATACCGAATGTCTTTCGTCCTGTCACTCTGTCACATGAGCATAAGATGATGCAACATCATCCCATCAATAAAGACTGGTAGAGTGCACACATTTGTTGATTGGGGAAACTGAGCCAGTCCAACGTGTAGTCCGCTCCTGAAGTCACAAGTTTGGGCCTATTCCCAACACCTCCATTAAGGTCTTTTGATCCGGATGGTCCGGATTCCTCATTTTTCATGGCTCAATTACAACTCAATGAGGTCTTTCAGGTTCAACTTCCAGGTCACACTCCCAAAAGTACAGCTCTGCACAATCTATGACCACTTGAACGAGGGAGCAGCTCCAGTGTTCATGCCATGCAATCGAAGTTCTTTCAGCGCTACAAGAGATGAAGGAGGATCATGATCGGCTCAGGAGTGACAGCAACCTCTCCCTGAGACCAGTTACGCAACCCATAACTCAAAGACCTGTCCTGTGACTTGTCATGCTCCACCTAGCCATTTTTGATAATTTCACTGATTTTCAAGACCCACAGAATATTGTGTCCTATGACTATGTAACCCTACAATGATCGTTCTGCTAGTGTAGGCGAGGCGGGGATATACTACTGGAAGTTACTGGGATTTGTGGATTATATCAAATACTGTTTTGTTGCCAACAACGTCACAAAGGAAAAAGAAGGGAAAAATAAAAGGTTAAGGCTAACAGGTAAGTAACTGAGGGACAGAGTCAAAATTAGATAAAGGTTCACAAGGTTTATTTGGTTATTTTTACTTTTAAAAAGTTCTCATTAAAATACATTTGTAGACAATACACAATGACCCCAGATCAACTCACTTTAAAGTGCATTTGTACTTCAATGTGCAAAATCACATTCGCTGACAAAAAGTAGTACTTTGCCGCTGTCTCCTGGTGCAAGCTCAGTGATAGTATAAGTGATAGTCCACTTTTCTGTGGCTTTTTTTGAGGTGCACCGCTGGTCTGCTGCCCTGACGCTGCAAGATCTCTGTCAACTCTACTGTAGAGACGCCTTTACTGCTCAAACTGCCTTCGAATTAAGCCTTTCCCTGGCTCTAGTCCCCTTTGACCAAGACACCCACAGAGTGGTGCTTCTACCTGCTGGCACAATAAAACACTGTCTCCAGCCAAACCCCAGACATATATCATAGTGGTGACACAGACATAGAGAAAAATAGTGAGTTTTCAATTGTCGGATTAATTCATCAATTAAAAAACATTGGCCAAACACCATTACATTGCCAAGTATCTATCAACCCAAAATTTGAATTCATAATTTAATAAACTTGCCTTTTGAGGTTCAGAATATTCCTTCAACCATATTATTCTGGTAACTTTTTAAAGTGAAGTTACACTTAGCATAGGTAACCGCCCAAACACCCATAAAAGGGACTGCAGGACTGCGTGCAGACGCCACTCAGTGGAAACAGCAACGTGCCTATAGCAGTTGGAGCGCAAGTAGAAAGAAAAAAAAACGTTAGCAGTTCAGAACTGGGAGTTCTACTGCAGGAGATCACTAGGAAGAAGAAAATCCTATTTAGCAGTCCTAGTGCTGGTTGCACCAACAAAAATAAAAAGGAGACCCAGGGTTGGACCGATGTGTGGGGCTGGCTCTAAAAAATTGCAAAGATCGATAAGCTCGTGGGAGCCTAAGGCGTCCAAAGAGGTATTCATCGCTCTCTGAAAAAAGATCAACGTGATCCCAAAAGATTTATTCCCTCCGCAAAGCACGATCCGCAACCTCCTGCAGCAACAATATGCCATTGTTTTGTGGGCCGTGGATGGGGGAAAAAATGCCCGTATAAATATTGACGGAATGATTTCCAATTTACTTGATAAATAAGCTAAATTGCCAAAAAAAAGGGAAATTAATAAGTACATATGTAGATATGATAGACATGCCACTGCAATGTTGTATTTTATTGAACTTAACAAAAGAAGACAACACCAGCATGCCGGCACTGAAATGTGCTTAACTAAGAAAAATCCTGGATGAAAGAAAAATTAATGAATACCACAATCTTTGTAAAATCCTCGTAAGTAGGACTTATGCAAATTTGTTCTTAGGAACAGTTTGTGAATGAGGCCCATTGTTTTTAATAATTGGCCCAGTCCTCATGTCATAGTGTAGTTAATGTTCTGTCAAATTCCCTTGTTGAAAACCGTATGCTTTGTCCGTGTGCAGGCTGTGTGTCAGCGTGTGCTATCTCCTCTTTAATATCTATTCTTGCCTATTTTTTTATTAATTGCCCTTCGGAGCTAAATAAAGTGCTTTGAATTATTTGTTCATAAGAAAAACTAAATGAAATGTGTATTAAATATATAAATTCATATTTTGTACAAACACTTCAGCACCATCAATAATTTAACAAGGATTTTAATTTGTTTTCAACTTATTTTGCACAGACCAGCAAAACAAACAGGAAAGGTACATGCATACAAACCAACTGACTAAATGAACCCTGGATAACTGAGCTGCATTGGAACTATAGTCTAAAGAAAACAGCATTTTTTTTTCTTTTAACTAGAATATAATCTTTAATATAATGCAATTATAACAGTACAGTCCTCAAGGATAAAAAAAGAAAAATTATGGGGTAACCAACCAAAAGTGACTGACATGGCTCTTTTTTTTTTTTACAAGAATGTAAAAGATAAGCTCTCACTGTTAGACAAACAACCTGGATTGTCTATGGAAAAAAGTGAGATGCTTCCTCATCAGCTGTGTGTGTGTAGATCAGTCCTGCAGCTGACTTTGTAGAAAGAGCATCTCTGAGTAGAGCGCCTCTCTCAGCAGCTCCAGCTCCCCGCCTTTGTATGCCGCCAGCTCACTCCTCATCTGGACACAGGCGGGGTCAGTGACGGCCTTCTGAACCATCTCTGCCATCTGGACCCTCAGAGCACCAGTCACCTAAAAATGCATCATTCAGTACATCGTAACACAGCCCTGGTCAAGGCCCAGGTTCACAAGCTACCTAACTGTGTCCAACTGACGTTCAATCTCAGATGTTTATCAAAAGACACATGCAACATGTGGATGTGTCTCAAAGAGGATAGATCCATGGACAAGTCTAGTCCATCAAAAAACTAAAGAGTAAAAAAAAAAATAATGAAGATTTAAACGTCTCATGTTATAATAAATTAAAGGTCACTGGATTGAAAAAAGTCAAAAATAACCGTTAACTTGATAAACTTTCTAATTTACCTTTGAAGGGTTAATTATAAGCTATTTACTTGCTGAGTGTTGCTATCAATCTATCTATAGAAATAAACAATTTCCTCCTTGGGGAATGGTTGACGAGAGAAAGAATTTCCCATCACGCACTCATCATTCATACCTCCAGACCGGTGATGCAGTTTGGTGGTTCACTGCAGCCTAAACCCTTTCTAAACCCTAAATCCCACCAGTATTACCAGCATTTTCTGTTTGTCCGTAAGCATACAATAACATACTGTAACTCATAAAATATGGGCGGTTTTGTAGGATTTAGAGTCTGAAAAAGAATCAGAGCTTCTTAAGGTATATTTTGCATAATTGCAGAGAGAGACCTGGGAGTCACTAGTTGACCCTTTGGTCTGAGAACCAATTGGCAGAGTGAGGGTGATCCTCTCTTTTTAACATTTCAAACTGTGAAAGATCTTACACAGGACAAAAATACATGCATGTGATAACTAGTGATGGTCAGTATCTAGTGACATGGATTTTATTACATATGTTTGTTGTTTGAAAAGTAAAGATGTCTTGAATTTGGATTAAAAAGACTGCACAAATAAACGACTACTACCTGTTGAGCTTCTCCCAGCTGCTTGTCCATCTCTCTGCTGATGGAGTGGAGGCGCCACAGCTCCAGCCCCAGTGCCCTCTGCTCATCCTGAACCCTCTTCACATGCCTGCTACAGTGCCTCATGTACTCCATCTCTGCGGTGAGCCTCTTCTCCGCCCTCAGCAGCTCACGTAGGAGCTCCTGGTCCTGCAGGACATCCTTTGGGCGCTCCTGGAGGCTCATGTCATGGTTGAAGCTGCAGATCTCCTCCAGAAACTGCTCTTGCTCCTGTGCTGCCTGATGCTGTAAAGAGGCCAGGCGTTCCATGCGCTTCTCCTTAGTACTCAGAAGCTGCTCCGTTTGGGTGGACATCTGTTTCTCTGTCCTATGGAGCAGGTCACACTGCAGCATTGTGGCACACACCTTCTGAGCCGTTTCCTCCAGCTCCTGTTTAGCTTCTCCACACTTCTCCTCGGTTGCTCTGATTTTCTCATGACACTTGATGTTGGCAACCTTAACCTGTTTAAACTTATGTGTCTGTTCTGTCAGCTGCTGCTCTGTCAGCAGGATTTGTTGAAATAAAGTGTCCAAACTCATGACTGTTCACCTGTTCGCATGCTAACGCTAATGCTAATTGCTAATGCTAGGTGGCGTTTTTTTTAATTAAAGGAAAAGGAAATATCAGATCATACATCCTTTTAATTAGCTTCAATATCAATGCATGTAGTAATGATATTTAAATAAGAATTATTATGTATTTATTGATAGATATTCAGTGACAGTTATCAGCGAACAGAAGCTTGAAACTGAGATTTTTAAATTAAAGATGCAGTGAGGGATTTTTTCCAGACGCATTTTTTTAATTTTGTGGGAAAACGTCCCTAAACCCTAAAACTAGTCAAGTTATCATATGTGTTTTCAAATAGTAATGGAATTGACCAAATCCCTATAGTCTCCAAAAATGTATAAAAAATATTTTGGAGTGGGCCGATAAAAATAAACCAATGGGATTCAATCATTCCTAACAAATCATTTTGTTGGGAAAACGCATCAATCATTGGGATGCGTTTTCTAAAACCTATAGGAGCTGAACAGAAAATGCCAATTTCACGTTTGCCACCCACTCTCCCTGTTTGGTCTGGTGGAGAGGCAAGGGGCGAGGGGGAGTTGTTTCGAGTTTGGTGCTACAGCTAAGCTAACAAAATCGCTCACCGCACCTTTAATCATTCTTTAGTAAATACAATATAAATGCACCAATAATGTGGAATTGTTGTTAAAATGGGTGGAGCATTAGGTTAAAGGCTAAAATAAGTACAGTATATGGGCTAAAAGCATTTATTTTTTACTGAAATCAGAATCGGGGTGACAGTAGCTCAGTTGGTAGAGCAGTGGCCTTTGAACCTGGAGGTCCTGAGTTTGATTCCCACCATGGGACCTACTCCAACTGCTCCCACTGATGTCTACTGTCGTTGTGTCCTTGGGCAAGACGCTTAACCCCACGTTGAAGCCCCCGCTGAAAGACCAAGGCTGTTTCACCACTGACATTGAGCCATCTTCCTGTGGACTCACCCCCTGCAGAGGATCAGCGAGGGACTGGTGCTATGAGCATTGGGTGGCAGCTCTCATTGCCACCCCCCTGACCCAGAAATGGACAATAAAGGGCTTGAAAATGAATGAAATTAGAATAGTTTGGAAATATACCATATTGAATCATAAGTGCCATATAGCTATCCAGACAGCAGAGCTGACAAAAGTACTACATTTAAGTATAAAGCACAAGATGAATAAACCCCACCAGCTAAATTTAAAAAAATAGTAATAGATAGACACCAGCAAATACACATCCATCCACACAAACAAAAACAAAAAACAATAAATTGATCATTCTAAAAAGCTAAACATTTTACTAATAAAATGCAACAGCACTTTAGGTCACAGCAGCAGAGGTGAAGTAGCCGCTGGGTGGAGCAGGACAGGTCACACCAAGAGGTAACTGAGTACAAGACACATATGTACGTGTACGTACGTATGTGCGTGCATGCATGTGTATGTATGCATGTATCTGTGTGTGTGTGTGTGTCTGTATGTGTGTACAGTTTTTTCAGTCGCTTTGGTGCATTTTTCACTTCATTCTTCACTTTTGCACAACTGTTAAGGCCTGTGTACACTCGCGCGGCGCTGGTTGCGGTTGCGCTGGACCTACACAGTTAGTGGTGCACCACTAGTTCCCCTTGCGGATTTTTGAAGAGAATGTTGTAATCCCACAACTAACCACCTGGTGGCGATCTCACAGGAGCGGCCCCAGTTGCTGCTACTTTCTTTGAGATCATTACATATGTTTCTACTGTGGGTTTCTGTGACGGTTCTAAACTCATATTTCAACTCATTTAACTGTGATGTTGTGAATAAAGACACAGTTCTTGTTGGAAACATAGTTATTATTAAATTGTATTCAGCACAAACAGCAAAACAACAAGTGGTAAATATCTGAGACAAACATGAACTATTTACAAGTGCAGGAGGAATGCAACAGACGCAATAAGCTACAAGTGCAGATTCAAACAGACAGGAACAGAGCAAAACAAACGACTGCACAGTTTATAAGTTATATATATGTTAGATATGCAACAGAACTCTAGTCCACAGTCTCAGCGTATATCAAGCTCTGAGCCATGAGCCCAAACTGCTTGTTCTTCGGTTTCTTCGAAGCACGAAGCAGTCTGCTCCGAAATGCCTTGTGGCTTGTTCCCTGCAGCCGCTCATGCTTCCGCCCAAAACACACACACAGCGGAGCAACCGCAAACATAACCAGCGCCGCGCTAGTGTACACAGGCCTTTACGGCGACCCTTACGTAGGCCCAATCCCAATACCCACACTGCACGCTACACACCTCTACGAAGTGTGCGCAAGGGTTTGAGTGGCAGGTTACAAGCGTGCAAAAAAGGCGGAATTGGGACAGTGCACACTGAGTGCAGGTTACGTCATCGATTCGTCTAGAGATCATCAGATCGTCATTTTCAGACCTAAACATTATAAACATTAAAGGTAATTTTGTCTGACCCTGTGGGAAACAAAGTGAGTTGCCCACACAGGTTAAAATAAATGTATATTGGTTATTCGTATTTTGAGATAGCTGTATAAATATAAGTTTGGGTAACTAATAGGGCTGTCCAAAATAGCGCGTTATTAACGCGTTAACGCAAATCAATATTAACGCCGTCATTTTTTTTATCGCGCGATAAAAAAAAATAAAAAAACACACATACAGAAAAAAAAATAGACACAAAGAAAAGGACTAGTTCTGATACATTGTACACAGAGATTACAAACAATATGTAGAGATACAGGGGGCCAAAGAAGAAACCCAGAAGGGCACATAGGAGGGGAGGGGGGGGGTTAATAAAAAAGGCAATACAAGCAAACAGTATACAGTCATAGATATACCGAAGGTAAACAGAGAAACAGCATAGAGTATTTACATGAACAAATTTACAAAATATTTACAGATTGTTTATCATCATCATAATGACACCATGATGTTTCTATACAGTCTATGGTCTATACCCACACATACACACACACACCCACACACACACATTGAAGGGGCTTTTTGTTACCAATTATTTATTTTGTCATCCATTTATTGATGATTTTGCATCAAATGTTAGTGTGTAATATAACACTACACATTGTTTTCAATAAAAAAAGCAATTGCACACAGCACGCAAATGTGTGACTAATTTGCGATTAATCGCGAGTTAACTATGAAATTCATGCGATTAATCGCGATTAAATATTTTAATCGTTGGACAGCACTAGTAACTAACTGTTATCTGGTCAGTTTTTACGCATCCTAAGTTTATTGTACTAAGTGTAACGTTTAAATTGAATGTTATGAATGCTTGCTTTAAAAAGTTATTAAATTGTTTAAATACAATGTCCGTAATTCTTCATCAGACATGTATGCTTCTTTCCATGTAACAGCAAAACGTATTTACACACATACAGCATATATATTTCTAAACTTACATTTAAATGCATTTTCCAGACGTTTTGTTGTGTACCGCAAAGAATTATGGGCAATATCATTCGCCAAAGTCCGCATAGATGCAAGCTATGGCGAAGTGTGGATCAGGGGCGCAAAGGGGGCCGGGCCAAAGACCTCCCTGGAGGATTGGGACACTCTACGCACTCGCACACCTACATCATGGAACGCGCAAATGAGGGGCGCGATTCTGGTCACTTTAATTCATGATTCAAGTTACTTATTATACATTGTTGTGCTATCCGATGGTTGCTCTGGGACAGCAGACAACTTAGATCTGGGTAAGGCAAGGCGGCGACAGTGCACCATCAATCTAAAAGTCAACGTATCTAAATAAATATAACAAATCACGCATTGTTCTAAAACCTAACGTGTTCTGTTACGAATCAGGGTTTGCGCTGTGGCCGCTCACACACATGAGCTGGGTTGAAAGCCAGCACCGCGGGCAGTACACGGCCCAAGTCACGGCAACACAAGTGGACCCATGGCAGCAGCACTGAACCACAATATTTAACGATCAGTGCTCCATAAAAGATGCAGCCAAGAGGCCCATGATCACTCTGGATGAACTGCAGATAACTACAGCTGACGTGGGGATAGTGTGTTCAGGGTGATGAGCTGTGTTGCTTTTACACCAAACATATCGTTTGGCATTGTGGCCAAAAAGTTTGATTTTGGTTTCATCTGACCAGAGCACCTTCTTCCACATGTTTGGTGTGTCTCCCAGGTGGCTTGTGGCAAACTTTAAGAGACTTTTTATGGATATCTTTGAGAAATGGCCACTCTTCCATAAAGGCCAGATTTGTGCAGTGCACGACTGATTGTTGTCCTATGGACAGACTCTCCCACCTCAGCTGTAGTTATCTGCAGTTCATCCAGAGTGATCATGGGCCTCTTGCCTGCATCTCTGATCAGTCTTCTCCTTGTTTGAGATGAAAGTTTGGAGGGACGGCCGGGTCTTGGTAGATTTGCAGTGGTCTGATACTCCTTCCATTTCAATATAATTGCTTGCACAGTGCTCCTTGAGATGTTTAAAACTTGGGAAATCCTTTTGTATCCAAATCCGGCTTTAAACTTCTCCACAACAGTATCTCGGACCTGCCTGGTGTGTTCCTTTGTCTTCATGGTTCTCTCTGCGCTTTAAACAGAACCCTGAGACTATCAAAGAGCAGGTGCATTTATACGGAGACTTGATTACACAGAGGTGCATTCTATTTATCATCATCAGTCATTTAGGACAACATTGGATCATTCAAAGATCCTCACTGAACTTCTGGACTGAGTTTGCTGCACTGAAAGTAAAGGGGCCGAATAATATTGCACGCCCCACTTTTCAGTTTTTTATTTGTTAAAAAAGTTTAAATTATCCAATAAATTTCGTTCCACTTCACGATTGTGTCCCACTTGTTGTTGATTCATGACAAAAAATTAAAATTTTATATCTTTATGTTTGAAGACTGAAATGTGGCGAAATGTTGAAAGGTTCAAGGGGGCCGAATACTTTCGCAAGGCACTGTATATGTATATGTCGTCAGTGTTCTTTGTATAATT